TTTGCAGTTCCTGCTATCTTTGAAATTTACAGTGCTGGTTTTGTAAGCATTTTAATTACTGGAATAATTGATGATATTGATTTATTTTAACATCTTTTACATTCTTTAGTTCTCTTGGATTTGTGGCACGTGGTGTGGATTGTCTGACTCTGAAACATCTAATCATGCCCAGTGCATTTCTGACATTGCTACAATTTTTCCAGGATTTGCCAGTTGAAATGCCAGTGCCGCTGGTACGTTTGGGTGCCCTCTGCATGCATCACAGTTCTGTTACTTAATAAATTCCCTGGTTGATGTAACTACCAATGGTACCCCTGTTGTTACACGTTACCAGTTCTCCTTTTATTGCTACATTCATCTAACTCCTTCATACTTGTTCAGTCATTCTTCAAAACAAATTTTCCCAGTGTTACCATTTTCACAAAAGTCAAAGAAAAGGCATCTTTGTGATGAAGATTAGTTGGTGGCACCTTGACCGTTCTTACATGAACAACCATTTTTTCACTTAGGAACAGGGAGAGACCATTCAGTCCCTTAAGCCAATTCTGCCATTCATTTACATTATGGATAATCAGTCCCTCCACTCCTGTTTATTTGCATTTGCCATATTTCTCATGATGCTTCTATCAAAACTTAGAACTTGGTTTAGTCCAAACAGAGCATTCGTATAAGAGTTAAGTTTTAAGGAACATTTGAAAGAAAGAGATGGTTACAGAATCCAAAACACCTGATCATACAAAATATAAACAAAAGTAGACCATTCAGCCCTTCAAGCCTGCTGTGCCATTCAGTAAGATCAAAGCTGAACAAAAAACACTATAGAACTGCATCAATGAACTGTAGGTGTAAGTTGAATACCCACAATGGCACTGGGGAATTTAAAATTCAGTTAATTAAACAGAGCTGGAATAAGCACCTCAGAGGTAAAGGAGAAAAATACACCAGGAAAGTGACTGAATACTGATAGGTGGGGTGGACAGCAGAACTAACAGAGCTCTGGGAGGACATAATATATAGGAGTAGAAGTAGGCTGTTCAGCCCATCAAGTCTGCTGCGCCATTCAGTGAGATCATACTGATTTGATATTCCTCTAATCCACTTTCCTGTCTTTATTCCATAACTCTTGATTCCCTTACTGACTAAAGATCTGCCCATCTCAGTCTTGAATATAATACACAACCAAACCTCGACAGCTGTCTGCAGCAAAAAAAATTCCACAGATTCACTGCCCTTTGAGAGAAGAAATCCTTCTCATTTCTGTCTTTAATGTATGACTCTTTATTCTGAGATTATACTTTCTGGTCCTAGATTCTACTGCAAGCTGATACAACCTCTTTGCATTCACCCTGTCAAGATCTCTAAGAACCTTGTATGTTTCAATAAGGTTGTCTGTCATCCTTCTAAATCCCAATGAATATAGGCTCAACCTATTTGACCTCTCCTCATAAGACAGTCCCTCCATATCTGGGCTCAGCCTAGTGAACCTTCTCTGTACTGCCTCCAATGCCAGTACACCTTTGCTTGAAAAAGAGGCCCACAGGTGTTCACAGTACTCCAGCTGTCAAAGTTCAACATGTATTGGGAAGTTGGGAGAAGGATGGAATTCCAGTCACCGAATGGAATAAACCATATGTTTACAATCCCCAGCCATAAAACCTGGTTTGTAAAACAAATGATGAAACAATTTGGTTTTCAGTTAGGCACAAGTGGACTATTAGATTTGAACCTAGTTATTCCTTCTATTCCACTGTTCCAGCTAACCACCCACACTGCAGCTCTGCTGCACAAGCTGGCCTGTAGTGGCCACACAGTGCTGTTTGTCATGTCTGTCAGAAACTTCTTAAAGCTCCTGGGAAAGGAAGTTAATTAGAAGTGTAATGACTTTCGTGTTAAAGGGCTTTGTAAGGGGATAATTAGGGTCTGGATGAGTATGGTGGGGACAGATTCAGAAAGGAGTTAGACTGCTATTTGAAAAGTAACAATGTAGAGGGATAGAGGGAGAAGGACATTAAGTGAAATTCTGATTCAAAAGTGTGTGCAGATATGATGAACTGTAATTGTTCTGATTCTGCCCAGAAGCCTGTGCCAACTCTTTGAAAAAGCTTACCAGCTTAGTCCCACTCCCCTGCTCTTCCCATAAGTGGGTATTTATCTAATTCTCTTTTGAAAGTTGCTATTGAATCTGCTTCCACCACACTTCAATAAGGTCACTTCTCGTTCTTCTAGAATCCACTGTAGGCTGCATTTGTTCAACCTTTGCCCATGAGACTAATCCTCTCATCCAGGAATTGGCTAAATAAACCTTCACTTGCCTGTTTTGAATGCAAGTATATCCTCCTTAAAGTAAGAGCCTAGATACACATGAAGGGGAAGGGTATTCCAGATTACATGAATTCACAGTGTAAAGAAAATATTTCCTCAAGTGGTTTTGATTCTTTTGCCTAAACCAGCAGTATAAACAAAGTAGTACAGGTGTAAAAGGCATGCAGGAACAGAAAGAACTAGAGGTACGTATACACATTTGAAGGTGACAGTGCAAGCTGATAAAATTTCTTTTTAAGAAAAACGTACAGAACCCTTGACTTTAGATTTGAGACATGGTATGAAAGCAAAGACGTTATGCTGATTAGACCTCAGCTAGAGTATTCAGTCCAATTCTAGACAGCACACTTTGGAGAGGATGTTAGGGCCTCTGAGAGGGCATTTATGAAAATGGTAATGGAGTAAGGCACTTTCTCTCTATAGAGAGAATGAAGAGAGTGGGATTGTTCTCCTAAACAGAAGATTTAATAGAGGTGTTCAAACTGTGTGAAGGATTTTGATTTGAGTAGATGCAGAGAAACTTCCCAGCAGTGGAAGGGGTCAGGAACAGGAGATAGATGTAAAATGATGGACAAAAGAGCCATGTAGGAGATGAGGAATAACGTTCTATAGGGCTATGGGGAAAAAGCAAGAGAACTGAGACTAATTACAAGAGTCTTTCAAAGCACCAGCAGTTATCTTGTGCTGAATGACCTCTTCCTGTGTATTCTGATTCCATGCATTAAACCAGAGATAGGCTGTCTGTTTCATCAAGTACGGAAACATTTTCACTTATTTTGAAATTTGCCAATATTAAATGTAATGTTGAAAAATTTAAGGCAACATCATGCCCTTATTTTAACAGAGGAATTGCATTTTGGAAGCAATGAATGGATTTGTCTTTTCCATGGAGACCATGCACAGCATGCAACCTCAACTGCTGTTTGACCTTCAGTAAGTAACCATTCATTGTCAGGTGGAAATGGATGGATGTAAAATTTGGCATATGATTTGTAAATAGCTATTACTAAATATTTACGGCACAGAAACAGGCCAGTCAGTCCGACAGTGATAATTGCACAGTTAGATTTAGCATCATATGGAAAGGAACAAAGGTAGAATGGGAGTAAATGTTCTAAATTTGGAGAAGGGAAACTTTACAAGGCTTTAAGATAATCTGGCATAGGTGACTATTGAATCTGCTTCCACCACACTTCAATAAGATCACTTCTCAAAAGAAAGTCAGTGGCACATCAATGGGAGTCATTCAGAAATGATTAGAGGTGTATTAAAAAATTACAGGGGGAAGGTGAAAAAGGAAATTAGGAAAACAAAGAGAGAATATGAAGAAAGGGTAAAATTAAGGATCCAAAGATCTTTTAAGAGTACATTAGGAGGAAGAGGATGATTAAGGAAAGATTAGGCCCTATCAGAGATGTACATGGTAACTTGCACATGGATGCAGATGAGTTTGGCAGGGTTCGAAATAAGTATTGTTTTCTGTCCTCACAAAGGCAAAGAATGATGTAGATGTTCTGGTGAAATATTAGATAAAATAAGCAAATAGACAAGGGAAGTAGGGTTAGGGTTTGTTAGCGTTCTGGTGGAATTGACCTCCTTGCAGGTGGATAAATCATCAGGGCTGGATGAATTGCATCTAGGCTGTTAAAGGAAGCCAGGGAGGAAATAGCTGATCCTCTGAGGAGCATTTCCCAAATCCCACTAGATACTGGCAAGGTACCATAGGATTGGAGATCTGCAAAATTTGTAGTGTTATTCAAAAAGGTTGCAAGGGATAGGCTAAATTATTATAGACTGGTCAGTCTGAGCTTGATGTCAGGCAAATTACTGGAATCAATACTCAGAGTTAGGATTCACTGTTGCTTGGAGAGGCATAGATTTATCAGAGATAGTCAAAATGGTTTTGATAAGAGAAGCTTGGGTCTTACTAACTTAATTCAAGATTTGAGGAAGTAATAAGAAAGATTAGTGAGGATATTGCAGTCCATGTTGTCTGCATGGCTTTTATTAAGACATTTGATCAAGTTGCACATGGCAGACTGTGAAACTTGTGCATGACGCAAGAATTGGCTGCGTAGTTGGTAGTGAAGAGGGTGGCTCTCGACTTTATGAAGATAATAGTTGTTTGGTTCAATGGCCGGAACTGTGGCAAATGGAATTCAATTTGGAGAAAAGCAGGTTATGAAAGCAAGAGGATATGTAATAAACAGGAAGGTACGGAGAGGACTAGAGGAATTGAAAAACCTTGGAGTGCATGGCCACAGGCCCCAGAAAATGGAGGACAGGTATACAAGGTGATAAAGAAGGCATATGGAACATTTTCCTTCACTGGGCGAAGTAGTAAATACATGAGTAAGGATGTAATACTGGAATGATATAAAACACAGATTAGGCCACAGTTGGGATCTGTGTATCATTCTGGTCATCACAAATACAAGAAGTATATAGAGACAACAAGGTGCAGGGCTGGATGAACACAGCAGGCCAAGCAGCATCATAGGAGCAGAGAGGCTGACGTTTCGGGCCTAGACCCTTCATCAGAAAAGGGGGAGGGGAAGGGGGTTTTGAAATAAATAGGGAGAGAGTGGGAGGCGGATAGAAGAGGGATAGAGGAGAGGATAGGTGGAGAGGAAACAAACAGGTCGAAGAGGCGGGGATGGGGCCAGGAAAGGTGAGTGTAGGTAGGGAGTTAGGAAGGGGATAGGTCAGTCCAGGGAGGACGGACAGGTCAAGGGGGCGGGATGAGGTTGGTCGGTAGGAGATGGAGGTGCGGCTTGAGGTGGGAGGAGGGGATAGGTGGGAGGAAGAACAGGTTAGGGAGGCAGGGACGAGCTGGACTGGTTTTGGGATGCGGTGGGGGGAGGGGAGATTTTGAAACTTGTGAAATCCACATTGATACCATTGGGCTGCAGGGTTCCCAAGCGGAATATGAGTTGCTGTTCCTGCAACCTTCGGGTGGCATCGTTGTGGCACTGCAGGAGGCCCAGGATGGACATGTCGTCTGAGGAATGGGAGGGGGAGTTGAAATGGTTCGCGACTGGGAGGTGCAGTTGTTTGTTGCGAACCGAGCGTAGGTGTTCTGCAAAGCGGTCCCCGAGTCTCCGCTTGGTTTCCCCGATGTAGAGGAAGCCACACCGGGTACAGCGGATGCAGTATACCACATTGGCAGATGTGCAGGTGAACATCTGCTTGATGTGGAAAGTCTTCTTGGGGCCTGGGATGGGGGTGAGGGAGGAGGTATGGGGGCAGGTGTAGCACTTCCTGCGGTTGCAGGGAAAAGTGCCGGGTGTGGTGGAGCTGGAGGGGAGTGTGGAGCGGACAAGGGAGTCACGGAGAGAGTTGTCCCTCCGGAAAGCAGATAAGGGTGGGGAGGGAAAGATGTCTTTGGTGGTGGGGTCGGATTGCAGATGGCGGAAGTGTCGGAGGATGATGCGTTGGATAAACGTCAGCCTCTCTGCTCCTATGATGCTGCTTGGCCTGCTGTGTTCATCCAGCCCTGCACCTTGTTGTCTCGGATTCTCCAGCATCTGCAGTTCCTACTATCTCTGATTCAAGAAGTATATAATTGCTTTAGAGACAATACAGAGGAAATTTACAGAAATGTTGCCAAGTTTTGAAAATTGTAGGTATGGGAAGAGGTTGGATAGACTAGGATTACTTTACTCAGCTTAGAGGAGGTTGAGGGATGATGTAATCAAGTTGTACAAAATATTGAGGGGTTTGGATAAAGTGGACAGGGAAGACCTTGTTTCCCCTTGAGGAGTGGTCAGTTACCAGAAGGCATAGGTTCGAGGAGTTGGTGGCAGGATTAGAGGGGATGTGAAGAACATACTTTTCACCTAGAGGGTGGTGGGTGTCTGGAATATATTGCCCAGTTTGGTAGTTGAGGTAGAAAACCTCAATTTGTTTAAAATGAACCTGGGCCTGCCCCTGAAGCATTGCAACCTGCAAGGTTTATAGACAGGTTGTTGGTAAATGGGATTAGAATGGAGGGCTATTTTATTCAGCTGTTGCAGACATGATGGGCTGAATGGCCTCTTTCTGTGCTGTGACTTTGCTATGGTTTGAACAGATCCTTGCTGGTATTGATGCTTCATATAAACTTCCTCACCCTGTACTTCATTTTATCACAATAATATATTCTTGTGTTCCTTTCTTCTTCATGTGTTTTTCCAGCTTCCATGCGTCCATTCCATTTGCATCAACTACTTCCTGTGGCAGAGTTCCACGTCCTTACCAATTAAGGAGGTTTTTCCTGAATGCCTGCTAGACATATTAGCGACTGTCTTATGTTTACAGCCCTATAATACTGATCTTTTTCCCCCAAGTGAAACATCTTTTGTATGTCCACACTATCACATCTCCGGTCATACGATTGACAATCTTTATCATATCTTCTCTCAGCCTTCTTAAGAAAGGAGCCCAAGCTTGTTTGATCTTTCAGGATATTGCCTTTTTTTTTTTAAGGCTGTTGAAAATTAGAAGATTTTCCAACAACATGACACAAAGATTGCTGCAAATCCTGGTAGAGAATCCAATTCCTTTCTTAAAGATCCCAAGTTCAAAGCAGAGTCTGATTATGGACTGGATTGTACAAGTACTGGTAAGATATGAACTCTGTCACCATTGGTAAGGCATCTTGATGGAACAGAAAAATAGTATATGGCATCCTGATTTATCCATTGTCAATTTACATTGACCAAATTTGGATATAATAGCTTGCATTTATATAGCACTTTTAACACAGTAAAGCTTGTCAGGAACATATTCGGTGAAAATTTGAAACCAGATGGTGAAGAGGATATTTGAATAGTGGACCAAAGCTTGGTCAAAAGGAATAGAGAAGTTTAGCCATTTTGATTGGCACTGTGTTCAGTCTGTTTGGAGCAATGCTACATCTACCTCTGGAACCATGAGACCTGGTCAGGAAACCTGATGACGTTATTGATTTTTTTTTAATGTTAAGACAAAACTATGTACTCTGTAATCTTCTCTTTGTTGGGTTTGAAGATTTGCTTTTCCAAAATTCAGAACTTCTTGTGTCTTTCATAACTTAATAAATGCTTGAGGAATGTAGACAGTGTTGCTTTGTAGGAAACATGGCAATGAATGTGCCTGCAGCAAGTTCTGACAGTGTGTTTTAGTGATGATGTTGAAGGATAGATACTGGCTAGGATGGACAGGACAACTCCCCTGCTCTTGAAGATAGTGCCATGCGATCTATTTCATCCAGCTGAGAGGATGATATGTCTTTGATGTAATAAAAGCAAAATACAGTATATACCGGAAATCTGAAATAAAAACAGAAATGCTGGAGAAATTCAGCAGATCTGGCAGCATCTGTGGAGGGAGAAGCTGGTTTTATGTTTCAGGCCTATTATGATTTCTCTTCAGAACTCAGAGAAACAGAACTCAGCTCTGAAAAAGACACATATTGGATCTGAAATATAAAATCTGTTCCTCTGTCCGCAGATACTGTCAGAGTTGCTGAATTTCTCCAGCATTTTCTGTTCTTACCTATGTCTCATTGTAATAAAGCATCGCCAGTATTGTGACTCATCATCAACTCTGGAGAGTTAGCATGGATTTTGTGCTGAAGTCTTTGAAGTGGGACTAGAACCATCAAACCTCTGACTTAAAGGCGAAAGTCCTATCACTGACCTACACCTGACACCAATAGCTGCAAATCATAATTACAGGGAAATGGGGTAAACTTAGGAAGTCGTCTGTTGGTAATTGGATCACATTTTTGGATTGGGCTGTGTTTTTGGACAGTCTACTCAAAGACTGAATGATAACCCTGAATGTAATTACATTTTCTTCATAGATGAATCTGTGAGACTAGACCTTCCTCACGGTATGTATTTTATTAATATTCAGAATTCCCAAAGGAAATTTTAACATGAAATTATTCAGGACATTTGAAGTATTATCACATGAAGGTGAAGGAATCATCTCTTGAGACAGTTGGCAAAGATGCATTTAAATTTTATTTGGATTAAATCCACAAAAATTCAAATATTTTTGATTGTCTCAGCATGTTGAGATGAATGAACATTCTGATATTTTCATATTTTAAAAAGATACTTGTGTAAATTTTCAGTCAGGTTGACCTAGAGCTGATGATTTCCTAATATATATCTTTCTTTTAATTTTCAGGATTTGCATAATAAAGGGTTTTCTAAAGCGGAGTTTGATTTACTGGGACATGCCCTAGCTTTTGTTTCTGATGAAATATTCATGGCCATTTCCCGAGCAGAGATGAAGGCAAATTTGTTGAAGATTAAAGATTACTGCTTTGACAGAGGAAAGAAATTTCTGTTGGGAGATATGTTAACTAAAGACACGATGTTTGGGTATGTAATGCCATAGAGCTGGAAGTTTCCCTCCTCACTCGTGTAGGATTTGTTATATTAAACTGACTTACTAAAGACAGAGTAACAGAAGGCTATGCATAGTGATGCCACACTCCTGAGCTAGAACTGAAATGACAAGGTAGTCCTGATTGGGGATGGTAGCACTGGGTTCATATATCTGTGCTAGTAATCCAAAGGCTGAACTGAAGTTCTGGAGATGTGAGCAAATCATGCTACTAGAATAAATTAGTAGTCTAATTAATTATGATTACGTAATTATGCCATAAAAATAAATCTAATGCAATAATACCTATTAGGAGAGGAAATCTGCTAGTTTGTGTCTCCAGAAATGTGCTCAGTCTGGGCTGTTAATTGTCCTCTGAAAGGACACACCAAACTATTTCAGAATAAAAGTGCTGTGAAAACGTTCAACATTTTAATTTTGTTTTGTCCAAACTAAGTTTTGACTCTGCTATGTCAGCCAAAGAGTTGGAGGAAGAGTGGGACATGCAGGAGATTTACTCAATGAAAACCACATGGATGAACGTGTTTCATCACTAGCCTCTCGTGGGAAATTAGGGATAGATAATAAATGGTGGCTCCCTGAGAACAAAAGGAAAAAAGAATTCATGCCTGTGGGTCGCATTATTGTAATTGACCAGGATTGATTTAAATACATCTTTTGTATTATGTGATATTCTCCGATCAGGGTCTGGGACAGTGGAATACATCAGACCCCATAGCCAGGGCCCGGGGCTCTTGGGAACCCACTGTGCTTAGGTCGGGTGTGGAGCCATTGTGCTCTGGTCAGGCATCTTGTCCAGGAGCAGTACAAAATCTGTGATGTCTGTCCCTTGTGTTGCCTTCACTCACTGTGTTTTTAGCTCTGATCTTATTGAATGGTGGAGCAGGCTTGAGGGGCCAAGTGGCCTGCTCCTGAGTCATATGTATATATGAGCATTTGTGGCTGGAGTAATTGTCCCTCTGTACTTTCTGTCAGTTTATTTTGCTGTAGTTCCTAGACACTAATTTTAAAGAGACTGTGTAGTCTATTTGTTGTCGTTTATAGAGGTTAGAACATAGAACCGTACAACACAGTACAGGCCCTTCGGCCTACGATATTGTGCTGAACTTTTACACTAATCCTAAGGTCTATCTAACCTCCACCCCTACCATATACTATCATCCATATGCCTATCTAATAGCCGCTTAAATGCCCCTAATGAGGCCGACTGCACTACCCTCTCCGGCAAAGCATTCCACGCCCCGACCACACTCTGAGTAAAGAACTTATCTCTGACGTCTCCCCTATATCTACCTCCACTCACTTTAAAACTATGCCCCCTCATATTAGCTACCTCCACCCTAGGAAAAAGTCTCTGGCTGTCCACTCTATCTATACCTCTGATAATTTTGTATGCCTCTATCAATTCACCTCTCATCCTTCGTCGTTCTAAAGAGAAAAGCCCTAGCTCTCTCTCAACCTTTCCTCATAAGACCTTCCCTCCATTCCAGGCAACATCCTGGTAAATCTCCTCTGCACCTTTTCCAATGCTTCCGCATCTTTCCTGTAATGAGGTGACCAGAACTGGACACAATACTCAAGATGTGGCCGAACCAAGCTTTTGTATAGCTGGAGCGTAACTTCACGGCTCTTGAACTCAATCCTTCTATTAATGAAAGCTAACACACCATATGCCTTCTTAACAACTCTTTTCACCTGAGTGGCAGCTTTCAGGGAACTGTGGACATGAACCCCAAGATCCCTCTGCTCCTCCACACTGCCAAGAATCTTTCCCTTAACCCTGTATTCTGCTTTCAAGTTTGTCCTTCCAAAATGAATCACTTCACACTCTTCAGGGTTAAACTCTATCTGCCACTTCTCAGCCCAGCTCAACATATTATCAATGTCCCTTTGTAACCAAGAACAGCCCTATCCACAACTCGACCCACCTTCGTATTGTCCACGAACTTACTAATCTACCCTTCCACTCCTTCATCCAAATCATTTACAAAAATCATAAATAGAAGAGGACCCAGAACAGATCCTTGTAGTACACCACTCGTAACTGAGCACCATGTTGAATATTTTCCGTCCACTACCACCCTTTGTCTTGTAAGGGTCAGCCAATTCTGAATCCAATCTGCCACATTTCCCCCTATCCCGTGCCTCCTTACCTTCTGCATGAGCCTACCATGGGGAACCTTATCAAACGCCTTACTTAAATCCATGTATACCACATCCACTGCTCTACCTTCATTCACGTGTTTGGTCACCTCTTCAAAGAATTCAGTAAGGTTTGTGAGGCATGATCTACCCCTCACAAATCCATGCCGACTATCACGAATGAAACTGTGCCTTTCCAAGTGATCATAAATCCTATCTCTCAGAGCCCTTTCCAATAATTTGCCCACCACTGACGTAAGACTAACTGGCCTGTAATTTCCGGGTTATCCCTATTACCTTTTTTGAACAAGGGAATGACGTTTGCCTCTCTCCAATCTTCCGGCACTATACCCATGGACAGTGAGGATGAAAAGATTATCGCCAAAGGCCCTGCGATCTCTTCCCTCGCTTCCCATAGAATCGTTAGATAAATCCCATCAGGCCCGGGGGACTTATCAATCTTCAAGTTCCTGAAAATTTCTAGTACATCTTCTTTACTAACATCGACCTCTTCTAGCCTACAGCCTGTTTCACACTGTCCTCCTCTACAACTAGGTCCCTCTCAGTTGTCAATACCAAAGAAAAGTATTCATTAAGGACCTCTCCTATCTCTTTAGGCTCCGTGCACAAATTCCCTTTACAATCCTTGATCGGCTCTACCCTTTCTCTGGTCATTCTCTTATTCCTCACGTACGTGTAAAAAGCCTTGGAGTTTTCCTTGATCCTATCTGCCAAGGTTTTCTCATGCCCCCTTCTAGCTCTCCTAAGCCCTTCCTTCTGCTCCTTCCTGGATAACTTGTATCCCTCTAGAGCCTTTTCCATTCCTTGTTTCCTAAACCTTATATAAGCATCCTTCTTCCTCTTAACCAGTCATTCGACCTCTCTTGAGAATCAAGGCTCCCTCACTCGACCGCATTTTTCCTGCCTGCTAGGGACAAACATATTGAGTACTCGCAGTATGCATTCCTTAAACAATCTCCACATTTCAACAGCATCTGTTCCCATTTTGTGTTACCCAGTTCTTGCCTAACAGAATTGTAATTACCCTTCCCCCAATTATAAACCTTACCCTGCTTGTATGTACCTATCCTTTTCCATAACTGTTGTAAAAGTAACAGAGTTATGATCACTACCGCCAAAATGCTCTCCTACCAACAGGTCTAACCCTTGGCCCGGTTCATTGCCAAGCACCAAATCCAAAGTGGCCTCTCCTCGTGTTGGTCTATCTACGTACTGTCAGGAATCCTTCCTGAACACACTGGACAAAATCCGCTCTATCTAAACTATTACAACTAAAAAGTTTCCAATCAATATTTGGAAAGTTGAAGTCACCCATGACTACAACCCTGTGACTTCTGCACCTTTCCAGTATCTGCCTCCCAATCTGCTCCGCCACTTCTCTGCAACTATTAGGGGGTCTGTAAAAAAACCCCAACAAAGTGACTGCTCCTTTCTTGTTCCTGACCTTAACCCAAAAACAGGTTGTGTTGAAGTATGTTGGACTAAATCTCCTACAAGTCGCACATTTCCTCCAACTCATTGGTTGAAATAGCTGAGTCAAAACCCAGTTTGGACAAACAAAATTAAAATGTTGAACGGTTTTCTTTTAGGAGATATCCCAAGTTGTTTCTAAACAAAATATCCATGCAATATAGAGCAGCAGTGAAAAACAAAACATTCTATGCCCTGGAGTATAGGAGATTGATGTTGGTTCTGATTGAGATGTTTCATATGTTGAAAAAAATAAATTCAATAAGGTAGATCTAAGCAATCTCTTTCTTGGCACTGGGAAGTAAAAACCCGGGGAACATGACCTTGAGCTAGATCAAATAGGAATAACATCAGGAAGCAAGTTTTCTCTCAAAGTGTAGTGGAAATGTAAAAGCTCCATCTTAAAGGACCGATGCTAGGGGCCAGTTTGAGCTTTTAAATTGGAGATTGATGGATAGCCTTAAGTAAGGGTATTAAGGAATATGGAACTAAGGCAGAAAGATAAGAGTTGAACTGCACATCAGCCATGATCTAATTTAATGACGGACCAGACTTAAGGGTAAGAATTAACCTAGTGCATGCAAACACAGATTAGTCCTCATTTGAAGCTCAGATGCTCTCTCCATAGTTAAATTATATTGCAATTTAATGCTATTTAATAGTTAAAAAACAAAGCACACTACTATTTGGGAAGTGGAGTTCTTTGGATATTAGAAGCTTTCCATCAATACAGATTGAGAAGCTACAAGACTAAGAAGCACTGCACACATCCCACCACTGACTGGAAGTTGTAATTTTACTGTGATGCTTAAATAGGCTGCATCTGTTATAAATGTAGAAATAGGAAATTGTAATTAAAGTTGGCAGGAAGAACAAATGGATGCAGTATTTTAATATATATCAGGCAAATCGTATGACTATGAGACCTGTGCCGGTAGTATAATGTTTTGTGCCACTCCAATATAACAGTCAAGCCGATATTCTCCTGTCTACAATTGCAGAAATTTTCTAGACGACCGATCCCATGATACATTTGAATTCAAGTGTGTGTGAGATTTTAGTAACGAATGTGTTAATGCTGTCACCAAGTTAGCAAAGGAATTTTCTATATCCAGTTTTATTACAAAAAATGTTTATATAGAGCCTGTAAAGTAATAAACATCTCAAGAACCTTCATAATGGTATTCTAAAACAAGATATGCCACACGAGAAGGTATTAGTGCACATTAGTCAAAGCATGATCAGAGGTTTGCGAATGTCTAAAGGGATAAAAGCAGGTAGAGAAATGGAGTAATTAATGGAGTGAATTCCAGAGCTCAGGGCCATTGCAGCTGAAGCCATGGCCACTAGTGACAGAAAAATTAAAATTGGCCATTATGAGAGGAGTGTAGGTATCTTGGAGTTAATCGGTCTGGAGGAGATTAGAGATGGAGAGGTGTAAGATCATGGAGGATTTTGAAAACAATGATGACAGTTTTAGATTTGAGGCATTGCTTAACTGTTAGCCAGCTTATGTTAGCATGCACAGGGATGATTGGTGAACCGAACATGGTCCAAGTGTTATGAATGCTACAGATTTGTGGAGGGTAGAGTGTGGGAGGGCAGCCAGGTTTATTAAAGTTGTCAAGTATGGAGCTAACTAAAGTTTTAATGAAGGTTTCAGCAGTAGATCAGCTGTAAAGTTACAAATATGAGACAATGGAATTTTTAGTAGCCGTGGCCAAACTTCAATTTCGGGACATGCTTTTCTAAAACCTTTTTAATAGGATTTATGAGAGTTTAATATCAAACTCTGGCATAAAGTTGTCTAATTTTAATAACAAGGTATATGAAACACCTCCGTTAATGTAATTTAAAGTTATTTTCATTTTTCCAGTGTTACAACAAGTTGGACCTCACTGACCTTGGATAAGGTAGACCGCTTGGTTTTCTTCCTTTCAATTGATGATTTACAGAAGATTCCTCAGGTAAAAGTCTCTAATAATCATTAAAATGTATAAATTCTGATTTGACCACATTTGTGCTAACTGCATTTCTAAACACCACACTTCTGGAAGGCTTTATTGACTTTGGGAATGATTGCAGCACAGATTTATCACAGTAACACTGGGGCTCAAAGCGGTAAATTATTAGAACAGATTACATAGATGTTTGTCTTGTACTTCCCTCATTATAGAACATTAAGAGGTGATGTAGTTGTGGTATTATACTTAAAGGATTTAATAGGATTGATAAAGAGAAATTATTTCCTCTAGTGAGGTAGGGAGTCCAGAACAAAGGGCCAGAAGCTTAAAACTAGAACTAAGCTATTCAGGGATGATGTCAGGAGGCACTTCCTTATAGGAAGGATAGTAGGAATCAGAAACTGCCTTTCTCACACAAGCTATGTTGCCTGGAAATCAATTGAAAAATTTAAAATTAAGGCGTAGGCAGATTTTTCTGAGGAAAGAATATTCAGGGCTATGAAGCAAAGGCTGGTAAATGGAATTGAGTTACAGGCCAACTGTATTCGAGTTGAATGGCAGAATGCTGTCAAGAGGTTGAACAGCTTCCTCCTGTTCCTATCTTCCTAAGAATACTTTGTGTTTTTCTGGCAATGACTGACTGACTTTTCCAGTCTGCAGGACAGAAAGGTCAAAAGTTCTATACAGTAAATAGTGTGTGATGTGACTCCGTATTTAATGTCTAAGTGAAGACCAGTGTATGAAGAAAAGTATTTTGTGCACTATTGCACATGTATAGGAGCTACGTTGTAGACAGTGCTTGTAGCAGTTCAAGGATGGAACTCTGTGTAGTTTGGTAGTGTTGGGAGGATAATTTTGTGGGGAGGTGGATTGTACATTTGGAAAACTTTGGGAAGGAGGCAATGTGAGGGGGTGGTTGCAAAGATACAGCAGAACTGGGAAAGAGATTGCAGGATTGTTGGAGCACCTGGATCATTGGCAAGGGAGATGCCAGTGTATGTGAATTAGTAATTTGAAAAAGATCAGTGTGAGGTGGGGGCAGTGATTCAGTGTAGAAGGAAGTGCTTAGATCTGCATCAAGTGTGCCTGCTGACTGATTAAAGATTCCCCATCAATGTAGTGAGAAGATTCAACTATTGGATATAGTAAGTAGAAAATGTAATCCATTTCATGCTTTTGTGGTTTCAGGATGTTTTGATCATGGAGAGGATTGAGATGTTATTTCACAGCCAAAAACATTGGGAAGAAAGTGACTTTGGTTCTACTTGCCTGCAGAAAATGGAGAATTCTGATCTTGACGATCTCTTCAGAAAACAACAAATATTATTGCAAACCTCAGCCGAACTTCTCAGTGCCAGGCAGCTACAGACCAAAAATGGTGAGACTGGTCATGTTGTATTTGGAATTTACACCTTCAGTTTCCTTGGTCCTAAGTTCTGGAACTCCTCCTCAAACCCCTCAGCTTCTTCGCTTCTCTTTCCTTTTTTAAGATACTGTATCTTGACCTGTAGGATTGCAGTTTGCATCAGGATTTATGCTAAAGAAAATGTTTTTTCAGGCTGTGCATGTTCTTCAAGCCAGCTTCTGTCACTGCTACCTTGAACCCAGTGCTGGAGCTGCACAGTAAAGAGTGGGGTGTCAAGTGGAAGGGGATTCAACTTGTTATCAAGTGATCTTTTCCTGACAAACAGTGTACAATGGTCAGGGAGATTAAAAAAAATAAGATGAAAGTACTTGGCAAATATTGACTGCTAATATTACTTGTCTTCTGCTAGACCTTGTCCTGAGCTGCAATGCAGTCCGGACGACCCTTCCATCCGCATGGACAATTGATTTGTTGACCGGCATGTCCAATGATGACTTCATCAGCTGCTTGGAATTGTTTGGTCAAGATCCTCACTTCCAGTCATTTGAACTATTTCAGCTCTTGGAGAGGGTTAAGCAGGTAAAAATATTACATGATGTGGTATTTGGCTTTGTAGAACAGGAAACTCAGTGTGTTTAAGTGGAAGCTGGCTAAGTATTTGGGGGAGAAAAGAAGCAAAGGTTATTCTGATGGGGTGAAATGAAGTAGTGTTAGACAAGATTTCATGGGGCAGAAACACTAGCATGGACCTTTTGGGGCGAGTGGGCTGATTTTCTCTGTTTTTCCATACAACTCTCATTTCATTATAATTTGTTGTGCTCATAAAGATGCTGATAATTTTTTGGAGTATCTTTATGCTTTTTGGAGTTCATTGGTGAACGTCCTTCATATGCTTGCTCAGGTACCTATTCTTCACATATAACCTGAGACTATGAGTGCTAATGGACCCTCCCATACACATAACCAACTCAAAATCCTCATGCTTTAGTAGAGAGCAGCCACAAGAGGCAACATTGGCTGATCTTTGTTCTTCCTGGAGGCATTATAGCCAAATGTAATATTCCACTGGTTGCTTCACCTGACATCACCTATTCATATCAGTCTGGTACTGAATCTGGTAATGTTTTAGTATGTGCATTTCAGCAGCCGCTTATTCAATTTGTGCAAAACTTGGCCATCAGGGTAACTAAGTGCTTTGATGCTGATTTGGTTTTAAGTTGACAAGAAGCTTTTATTCCTTTCTTTCATTCCATTTGTTCCGTCCTGTCTTTAAGACAGAGACAGATAGGTTCTTGATTAGTAAGGGAATCAAGGGTTATGGGGAGAAGGCAGGAGAAACAGGTTCAGAAACATAGCAGCTAATGATTGAATGGCAGAGCAGACTCGAAAGGTCAATTGGCCTAATTTTGCTTCTGTCTCTTAGGGTCTTTCTCCTGTAAATGCATCTATTTTGATTGACTGAACTAACTTATGTGGTAGCAAATTCAATGTTAGTACCAATTTCTCTTGAATTCCAATTGGATTTTTCAGTGACTATCTTACATTTATGGACCCTAGTTATGGTCTCTTTCGCATGTAGAAATATCTATTACACTGTCAAATCCTTTGATAATCTTTCAAACCGCTGTCAGATCTCAGCTTAGCCTTCTCTTTTCCAGAGAAAAAAGCCACAGGTTGGTCAGTCTTTCTTGCAATGTGTAATCGCTCAGTTTTGGTAAGTCCCTCATAATGCGTAGCCTTCATTACAGAATAACTCTGTTCTCTCAGATTTATAGACCCGTGTCGGCAATGCCACCCAAGGTGATTGAGCAGCTGGGACGAGTAGCGACTCAGTTCACAGAAAAGGATTTAACAAGGTTGGACTTGTCGGACCTTGGAGCAGTGATGGCTCTGGGTAAAATAGCAGAATGGAACAGGAAGAAGGTAGCTTGTGCCTGTTGATTAATGAAACTGAAAAACAAAGATTTTCATTTCTGTAGCAACTTACATGACTTCAAGACATCCAAATTACAGTCACTGATGTAGTTTTGATTAGTCATCACTGTTGGAAATCTCGTGGCCAATTTGTGAGTAGGAAGCTGTCATAAACAGCAGTGTGTTAATGATCAGATGATCTGTTTTTTGCAACATTATTTGAAGGATAAATATTGCCCAGGATACCAGGCAGAACTCCCCTGCTATTCTTTGAAATAGTGTCAAGGGATTGCTTTTGTTCTCCTTAGGGCAAACTATCCTTGGAATGACATCTCATCTGAAAGACAATACTTCCAAAAGTACAGCACTCCCTCAGCCTAGATTTCTTGGGACTTGAATCCAAAATCTTCTGACTCAGACATGAGAGTGCAACTAATTGAGCCATGGCTGACACAGCACTGCCACAATCAGCATGTGTACTGAGCTGTATGTGGACATGGTAAAAACTAACCTGTTAGTGTGTGCCCAATATACAATGCCTGCTTCATCAAGTTGACTAATCTGCATCTTGAAACAACGTAGCTATTGCTTCAGCTGCACATTTGGTAACCTTTGGTGGTTGTACGTGATGCTTATCTATTTAAATCTTTATGGTTTTCCTGGTGGCTCAGCTGGCTATATCAGTGGGTGTTGCACTGAACTGACTAGCCCAGGTCCCAGATTTGATTCAAAGTATGTCCTGACTAAGTTGATGTCTGGCAATGTAGATACAACAATTGACATTTAATCCATTGAGTGGAGAGACGATGTTCTAGGGATCCTGGTCCTAATTACTGTCTAATACCCATAAGCAGAGCAACAGACTGAGTTGAAAGGTTGCCATTAGAACGCCATGCATTCTGTCCAGTCTGTAAACTACATTTACTCCCTAACCTCACTACCACTCACTCCCTTTAAAGACATTCCTAATGATTCGTAATGTGCTGTCTGAAAGGAAGGCAATTCATTGGTTACTTTCCAAATGAAATTGGATAAATGCTTGAAATTGAGAAATTTTGAAGTGTTATCGTAAAAAGTAGGAGTATCTAATTGAAGAGCTGGCATGGGTATGATGGGCTATAGTGGGTGAATCTGAGATAGGGTTAGGGCCACAAAGTGGACAAGTACAAAAAAATGACTGTATGGTCTTTGTTTTGCTACAAGTGAAATTGAATGAATTTCTGCACTTCTAAGGGAGAATCTGATATTTGTTCCAGCTCACTATACTGTTTACATCCTTCCTGCGGGTGAACAGGCGCAGGATAAATGAACTGGATTCTGTCAGCTTGGTAGCTCTGGGGCACCTCATCTGTGGCATCAAACAAGCAGATATCTCTGCAATAGACCCGATGCAATTTAGGTAAGCACCATCGAAATTACATTCTGGGGTATGAATCTGATACAGGTGAGTCAGAATTCTAGCATTCCTTGTGTTTTTGCATGTTAATAGTTCCAAACACAAGGCAGCTGACAAGGTAGAAGGCTGAGCTGGGACCATGTTTGTGGCTTGATTTCCAATAGGAATAAGTATAACAGACAGGTCGGAGATGATAGTAACACTTCTCTTGTTTACCATCTCTCAACTAATTGAATACTGATGTGTTTTAAAAGTAAAGTACTTTTTACTCTGACTGCTGTAGAATGCCGCACGTTTACGAAAGGTAGAATGTGTGAGGACATCCAGGTTTAGTTGTAGGCTTTAAAAAATAAACATTTATTATTCAGCACCTGAATATATTTGCAACCACCTTCATTCAGATACTCATGCAGACAAACACATACACACACAATCTCAAGAGAACCAGTTGTGTTTATTAAAGATTTCTGTTTTACTACCCAACTGAGGTGCAGTTGAACCTCCATAGCAAAGACCTAGTTTGTGTTCATCACATTAGAGAGATAAAGGCTAACTCAAATTCTCTGCCTATTGATGGTTCGTGTTCATTTTCTGGTCTGAATCTTTGTCTTGATGCCCCAAAAATGTGCCTTACTGAGTGTCTGCTCTGTAATCTAGTTTCTGTCATATGACTGGCGTGTTTCTGTTCATTGTCCGCACAAATGGTTTCTGATGACTGACCATTGTGAAAAAATAGGGTTCGTGTTGCACCTATTTTTTCACAATGGGTGTCCTCCCACATTCTACCCTCAGTCTGATAAAGTAGAGGATTTTTTGCACACATTCTGTAGAATTCAATTCCAAAGCCGAAAGGTCTGCATGCAGCATTGTGATAACAATTTATTTAAAGCTCTATTTGCTGACACCAGCATGTCTGCTATGTGCTGGTTTAAATTGCATGAGTGCAGATTTTGGTTGGGGGTGGTAGGGCGAGAGAGAGATTTGAAGCAGGGCAGCCATTAGCCACAGCAAAGGTCTTTTGCATTTTAATGATTTCTCAAAGATATACAGTAACCAGAAAGCCTGTTTGCATTTTGATGACTTTTCCAAACATGAGCAGTAGCTCAAGAGCTCTGTGCAGTTCCAGGCAAGGAAAATCACCTGACTTCTCAGCTACTTTTGTTTTTAAAATCAAGTACCCATGCATTTATATTCCATGAGGCTTTATTATGTGAGTGTTACATAGGGATAGACCATAAAGTTCCTGGAACCTGTTTGCTGACATCTTGGCTGATCTGTGACCTAACTCCAGACAAAGAAATCGGGTGGAAGGGGACTTAGGAGTTCAAACACTAGCATAGACTATTTCTGCCACATACATTTTACGCATTTCTATGTAACATCTGTTAAATATTAATGATTAATAATTATTGTGTTAGTTTCAAATTCTTTTGTCCTTTTTGTTTTATCAAATGGTTTAAAATTGTATTTCTTTCTTCTGCTTAATTGAAAAAGAACCTTTATTTCTAAATTGGACACAATGGTGAGTTGCTGTGTTGTGTTGTGCTGGTTTGTCTCAGTATGGCAGTTCTGTGGATTGGAAGACTCAGCCTGTCCTGTGATGAGCAGCAGCTGGCAGCCCTGGCCAAACTTGTCGCTCACTCTCGGACATTTGGAGAAGTCAGCCGGTGGAGATCTGAAGAATTCACTGAAATTGGTTCTATTGCAGGCAAGCAATCACTATTTAAACAGTTATTTTAACTTTCTCATAAATTTAAACATCATTGCTTGTTAAGAAAGATTTCCACACACACCACCATGTCTGGAAGAACAGGTTATGTGGTGATGTATCGTACTGCTATTTGCAGAACTTTGCAATGTACAATTTGGCTGCCATGTTTCCTATATTACAACAATGACTACTCTTCAGAAAGATATTTAATTTGCTGTAAAATGTTTTGTGACTTGCCAATTTCTTAGAAGATACTATTTAAGTCCAAGTCCTTTAATTCTTTTCACAGAACTGAATACTCAGTAGTGCTGGAGCCTGTTCTGTCATTCAGTTAGATCCTGCTGATATGTATCTCAATTCATTTACCCACCTTTGACCGATATCCCTTAGTGCACTAACTTGAGCAAAAATCTATCAAACCTAAATCTTGATGTTTTAGTTGACCCCCAGCATTCACAACCTTTGACAGGAAAGAGTTTCAGTTTCTCACTCTCCATTGTGTGAAAATGTGTTGTCTTGTGGAGGTGACAGAAGCTTGGGGTAATTTGAATGATTGCTGTTGGGAAACAAGGATCTTAGGGTGAAGGATAGGGATAGCTAAAAAATGATGGAGCATGATGTTTTCAGGTATTGTTGAACTGTAATAGGAACATGTATAAAATAGTGGAAGTCCTTGATAACATGGGTGCTGGGATCCAAAAAAAGTGAAAACATCATGTAGCTGAACAACATTAATAAGAAATCTCCTATGTTTAAACAGCAGAATGAAATTTTAAATAAAGATTTATCTCTTTTGGGGCCTTGATGCTGCTGCCCCTGCATGCCAATTCACAACGTATTGAACCACCTTACAGACTTCCACAACAACAACAAACAAAAACAGAAATTGCTGGAAAAGCTCAGAAGGTGCAGCATCTGTGGAGAGAAATCAGAGTTAACGTTTCGGGTTGAGTGACTCTTCATTAGAACTGAAGAACTTGAGTTCTGAGAATCAGTCACTAGTCGTGAAACGTTAACTCTGATTTCTCTCCACAGATGCTGCCAGACCTGCTGAGCTTTTCCAGCAATTTCTGTTTTTGTTTCTGATTTCTCCATAGTCCTTTCAGTTTTTATAGCCTTCCACTATATATGAGCAAAAGCAAAACATTGTAGATGCTAGAAATCTAAGATTAAAAACAGAAAATGTTGGAAACGTGGGTCAGGCAGCATCTATGGAGGAGCAGTTGAGTTAAAGTTTCAATTGATCTTTTCTCAACACTGGAAGATGTTGGAGATTAAATAGTTTATAAGCAGCTACAGAGCTAGGGAAAGAGTGGGTGGAAATGGGGTTCACGGAAAATTAAAAAGGAAGGCCTGTAATAGGGTATAACAGTTACTGCTTGACTGAACGTACTTACAGTCTTACAATTAGTATTTTACTCTCACTCCCTCTTCCTCACTTTAATAGCTGGACTACCAGATATTATACTGTCAGCTCTGGTTAAAGAACAAATTGAAGGACTCACTCCTGTTGCTATTGCTAGTATCCCGCCAAAGAAATTTTCAGTAAGTGTGGAACATTATCCTTCAATCCATATAATGTAATTAAATTAAAATTTTAAATAATTAAAATATAGAATTTTATTTGCTTGAATTTATTTCTTTTCTGAAACTGTTGACTTTGATGGAAAGATTTTTCACATGGCCACAGAATAATTACAGATGATTAGGGCCATTTGGCCCATTTCATACTGTCTGTTGAGAAGACTGTAAATTTTCTACTGCAGAATCTAATTATTCCCTAAAGTATTCTAGGAATTTTCCCTCCACCTCACATCTGGAAATCTCTTGTAGCCATTGATAATTCTTTCTTAAAATTAGGTCTAAATGTGCTTTTTATAATTTCAATCCATGATGACTCATCCTGCTGTCTCAATTTCATTATAAGTAATATTCCTGATTTTTTTTCTGTTTCACAAAACTGTTGTTTGTCCTTCTTTAACATGATCAAATGCATATTTTTCCAGACTAAAGAGCCCAAGTGCTCCTATCTTTTCTCATGGCCTTTTAAACTCAGGATCAGCACTGTGAATCTTTGCACAGGTACCAACAATTTGAATGTTTCCGTTTGTCTTGTTGACTTGAATTGAACACAATGCTCAAGGTGAAATCATACCAGAGCACAGTACATTCTACAGATGCCTACCACTGTGTGGTCTTTCGTGATTTGTCATCTATGAATCTTGAAGGTGAGTTAGCAGGATCTCCAATGGCCTGAATGTTACAGACTGGTACGTGAGTTTTCAGGAGGAAAAATGATCAGGAAACAGAAGCCGTGAGAAAATTTTCTCTTGCGTAACCCAGTGGCATTCAGGTCAAATGACAGCACCCACACCACTGCATTGATTGAGACCAAGCAATTCAACATTGGTCTCCACTCAAACCTGGATCATCTAGTTATGACTCTATCTTTAACTCCAGGGTCAATTTTATGACAGGTCATTAAAGTTGCTTCCAGTCCAATTTGTCACTAAGTATACTGGGATTTTTTATTTGGTGTTTCCTAATTCCCTTTATCCTTTCTTTGGCAGGTTGTATTCAGTCCCAAACAGATTCGCATGTTTAATTATCAGCAGGCAGTGGCTGTGACTCCTTCTCAGATGCAAGAACTTGGTGACTTTCAGAAGAAAGCTCTGGATATGGTGCTTACTTCGTGGCACAAAACAGCAATTGACATAAGAGGTAGAGCTCCACTGGCCCATTGCCAGCCTGTTATATAAAACATTCAACAAATAAACAGGCCAGGAGACTGAACATATCCGTGCTGGGATTATGTTCTACATAGTCTTACTCTTTCCCTATTTCACCCAGCAGCATATGCTTTTGTTCCTTTCTCCATCCTGTACTTATCTAAACTCCCTTAAAGACATCTGTGCTACTTGCTTTACCCACCATTATTTGATTGAGGGGATTGCCAGGTTATGATGAGCTTTTAATGATGGTGAACTATCGGCAAAAGCTGGACAACCAATAAGTGTTACAATAAAATCAAAATTAAAAACATTTCAGAATATTATGAAGTGATTAATCTGACAGGGGGCTCTGATGCACTTGTTTGTACTACTCGGCACCCCAAGTCACCAATAATGCTAGTTGTTTGGCAGTGCCTCAATATTAAAATCCTGACCCTAGTTTTCAAAACACTTCATGACCCTTGACTTCCTTATCTTTGCAAACTGTTCCAACGCAAAATCATCTGAAATCTCTACGCTCCTCTAATTGTGGCCTTTTGATGTTCTTTGATTTTAATTGTTCCACCAGAAGTGGCTGTGCCTCGGCTGCTTGGAACCTAAGACCTGGATTACCTCCTTAAACCTCTCAGACTCATGACCTTGTTAATGAAAAGTAATTTTATTTAATTGCATTCAGGTGGTGGGAATTAGCTGTTCAAGTCCCACCTCGTCCAGAGGGTAAGAATGCGATAGCATAGTGGTATTATCACTTGACTATTGATCCAGAGACCCAAGTAATGTTCCAGGGACTTGGTTCGAATCCCACCATTACAGATGTTGAAATTGGAATTCAGTATAAATCTGGAAGTAAGAGTCTAATGATGATCATGAATCCATTGTTGATTGTCACGAAGAACCCATGTATTCCAGAGGTGTGTAATAACATCTCTGTTATTTGATTTGGTTGATTGGTAAATGTATGTAATTGTTAAGGGTCTTTGTGGTGCAGTGGGAGTGTCCCTCCCTCTGGACACCTGCTCCAGAAGTGTGATTGCAACTCTGAATAGGTTGGTTAGAAAATAAAACATAGAAAGGAACAAACAGATTCTGGTTTTTGGTGAGGAGATGCATGTATATAGCATGTAACTCCATAAATAAATGCGTAAAACGGTATGTAAAGATTACTTCCAATTCTATCCTTCACCACTTTGATTTCTGGAAATTAACAGACTTCTGAGGTTTGTCAGTGCAGGAGCATTTTTGAAATAGTGACCATAACTCAGTTGGGTTTCGGATAGATACTGAAAAAGATGAGGATGGGCTGGGAATAAAAGCTGTAAACTGGGGAAAGAGACTAATTGTACAAAGATCAAGTATGGTTTTGCCAAGTGGACTAGGGGCAGCTACTTCCAAGTAAAACCGTGTCAGGGCAGTGGGAAACATTCGAAGATGAAATAGCAAGAGTACAGGACAAGCATGTTCCCATAAAGGCAAAGAGTGGGACCAAGACCAATGAACCATAGATGTCAAAGGACCTAAAGGTTAGGATTAAGAGGAAAAAAATGTTTATTAGCAGATACTGAGCGAGGAGATATCTGGGACCTTAGCAGTAATTTTCAAATACTTTCTGGCCATAGGTGAAGTGCTAGATGACTGGAAAACTGTTAACGTTATTGCATGTAGATCAGAGAAGGCAAGAATTTCCTTCTGTGCAGTGAACCAGATGGGTTTTCTGACAACTGATGATTATTTCATTGTCACCATTATAGAGACTACCTTCCAATTCCACCTTTACTAATTGAATTTAATTTTGCTTCTGGAAAAGCCTAGAAACTGAGTGACACAGTTTAAAAATAAGGGGTCTCCCAAATAAGATAGAGATTAGAATTTTTCTCTCTGAGAAGATTGTGAAATCTGTGGAGCCCTCTTTCTTTAGATATTAGTGGGTACAGAGTCACCAAATATTTTTTAAGGTAGGGGAAGATAGCTAGTTGACTGAGAATGAAGTCAAGGAATATAAGAGGCAGACAGAAAAGTGGACTTGAAGCCAAAATAATATAAGAACAGGAATGGGGGGCGTCGAATGGGCAACTCCTATTCTTCCTCCTAAGTTGTATGCCCAGTTGCTGAAGATGTAGGATTTGCTTCTGGATTACTAGTCCAGTGACATTGCCACTATCTTCTCCAGTTTTAAGTGATGTTGGATAATTGGTGACAATTACCACGTTCTCAGCATGTGTCAAAATTACATCCCTCCTGACCTATAATGTTAAGTAACTACATTTCAAAAAATGAAAATCCTCACTGGCATTTCTTGAGATGAATGTTTCAACCTTGCAGCTAAAGATTGTTAATGCTGGGAAGCAAATAAACAATTCCATTTATGCCCAGTGTTGGAATCAAGCCACTCCTGGATTTCAGCTGATCCCCAAGCACTTGCCATAGCCAGAATCTCTCTTTTGCCTAATGCACCAGTACGTTTCCTTTCAATTCCCAACTATTCATGTGGCTTTGCTAAGTTTACAGTTTTGTATAGTTTAGGCCTCAAATTTCTTTCCTTAACCTGCTCCCACTTAACTTTGCCCTCTCTCTTCCTTTCAAACCATCCCTTAAAATCCAACCTTTTAGCTTCTATATATCCTGCACTAGTTCTTCCTTCAGGGAGACATCCATTTCAAAATTGATACTAAAATAATTAATTAAAGCTGTGGCATGGATCAAATGTGCTGATTATTAATGAAATCTTCTTTGTTTATAGGAAGATCATCTGGAGAAGTTATTTCTGGGAGCTTTATTGGAATATTACTGTGTGTTGTTTGTAATGTTTTACATTCAAGTGGAGAAGCTTACCTGTAAAATACATTTTATCCTTTGTTACCCTTTAATGTGTTTGGCTAATATTTCATGAATGAGTTTTTAGTTGTGTGTTGGACTGACTGCAAACATTCCATATTGATGAGATGTATTGTTTGTCATGCAAACCTTTCCATTATTGTTTGCTGCTCTTGGCCATCCTTGAGTTGTGTGCAATTTAATAAAGAATTGTTTTCTGCTTTGAATTAAATTTGCCGTCAGAATCAATTGAGTGCTTCTATTTCTCCAACTGAGTTCTTCAATTCATTTCTCTACCATTAGTGACCCTGCCTATAACAGCCTCAGCCCCGGCATTTGGAATTACCTCCCTAAAATGTGCCAGCTCTCCAACTTAATTTATGATGCTCTTTAGAACCTACTTCTTTGACCACAATGTCCAAATATCTTGTGTGTAAAATTTGTTTGAAAATCACTCCTGTGAAGCACCTTGAAATATTTTGTTTTAAAGGGCCTATATAAATGTAAGTTCTTGTTTTGAATGTGGCTCTTAGTCCATCTCTCCCCCTTCTGAAGCTGCTAATCTTTGCTGGGATTTGATTACACAAGTGCTAATGTTTTACTGGTGCTTTATTCAAAAGGAATTCTTCATGAGGTCATTGGCTATTGAAGGAAGTCAACTGAGGTAATGTAAGCCTTGCCGCTTTCTAAGTACTCTGTAAAGCCTCAAACATCCGTCTGCGATTGCTTTGTCGAGCTGTGTGATCTTTCAGTTGCCATATTAGTTTGAAGCACATATTTTAGGTTGAGGTCTATTTAGCTGAGATGCTAAATTGTTGCTCTGTTTACCAGTTTAAACTATTAAATATTGCACAGGGGTTTCCCTCTTTGCTCTTGCCAATATACTTCAATCTGCATCACTAGCAAAGCGCAGTAACCCAAGTCATTCATCTCGCTGCTCTCTGAAGAACTTTGCTGTTTTCATGTTTGCAGGTTTTGTTGACATATCAGCACTGTCTCATGTCAGGAATACTGATTGTCTTAAGATGTTCTGGATAAGGTGCAGTACAAATAAAAGATTTTTTTCTATAAGATATCTTAAGTCTGGAAAATATAGAAGATGGGTAGGTGACCAAAATTGAAATAGATTTTTAAGACTTTTGAAAGTGAGAAGATATTCTGTGTGAGCGGGATGAGGGAGTTTCAGGTGGCTAAAGAGTGTGCATTGTTAGTTGAGTGGGGGACAGGAAGGAGAATGTGTAGTAGAGAGAGTTAGATTAGTGAAGGGATTGGGAAGGATGGAAGGCTGGAGGAAGTGTAAAGCTAGGTGTTGGTGCCATGCCCATGAAAGCTGACCTTGTGCTTATGAATATTGTCAACAAACAGCAACATATAAATAAGGAAAAGGAAGGGACCAAGGATGAAATCATAAGGGGCGGCATGGTGGCTCAGTGGTTAGCATTGCGACCTCACAGCGCCCGGGACCCGGTTTGATTCTACCCTCTGGTGACTGTCTGTGTGGAGTTTGCACATTCCCCCCGTGTCTGCATGGGTTTCCTCTGGGTGCTCCGGTTTCCTCCCACAGTCCAAAGATGTGCAGGTTAGGTGGATTGGCCATGCTAAATTGCCCATAGTGTTCAGGGATGTGTAGATTAGTTGGATTATAGGGGGATGGGTTTGGGTGGGATGCTCTTGAGGGTTGGTGTGGACTTGTCGGACTGAAGGGCCTGTTTCTACACTGCAGGGATTCTAAGAGTAAAAATACAGATGTAGGAAGAGAACATGTTCCTATCTGATCTGAACCCTAAGATTAATGTTGAAATAGTTTTTATTAAGTAGTTCTCAAAATGTGGGCATTGTTGTCACAGCTGTGATACTGTCCATCCCTTGTTACCCTTGCGAAGGTGATGTTGAGCCACCGACTTGAAAGCAGCCTGTATGTTAAAGGTACTCCCACAAGGATGGTAAGGGAGGGTGTTCCTGGCTTTGAACAGAGCGGCAGTGAAATAATGGCTGACTTGTGTTTACATTGAGATGGCATGTGGCCTGGAAGGGAGTAGGTACAAACACACTTATTGAGATTCAAGTCTTTTTCCTAAATGTCAGTGTTAAGTTCAGGCAAAATTGCCTAGATAATGTTGAGAGTCTTTATCTTCTTAGTAAATTTTCTTTGAGTTGGATGATTTGATGTTAATAATTATCTACACATCCTTTCCCTCAGCACATTCCCTGCATTACTGGCAGAAACTTCGTAGAGAATTTGTAGGAATGAACCGATTGAATGTTGGAACATGTTATCATGATTCCAAATCCTTCCCAAAAAGGATTAACAGGAGGAATGAGTATATACAAAATATAAACAGAAATTTGCAAAGTGTGTATTTTCCATAAAAGCATTTCATAAAAAGTCATCTGATAAAATGTGAAGTATTCTTTATGATTAGGATCAATGGTATGAAATGAGGCAGGTTTGATGAAATGTATTAATATAAATATATTTAGTAAAATATCTCCTAGAAAACAGTGATCAGGTCCCTCAGGCAGTGAGGCTGGAGAAATAATTGAGAAACCAGGAAGTAGCAGAAGAGGTAAATAAAATACCTGATATCAGTCTTTGTAGTAGAAGATTTTAATAGAATTTCAAAGATACTAAATTATCAAGGGGCAAAAGGGGGAGACGAAATTATGAGAACTATCAATTAAGAAAAAGTACTAGAGAAACCAATGGGACTAAAGATTCATACGTTCCTTGGATAGATTGCATCCTAGAATATTAAAGGAAGTAGCTACAGAAATGCTGGATGCACTGGTCACAATCTAATAAATAGTTTTGTCCCTTTATTTAAGGAAAGGTGTACAGGCTTGGGAGCAGTCCAGAGGAGGTTCACTAGGTTGATCCTCTTTCTCATGAGGGGAGGTTGAGTAGGTTGGGCTTGTACTCATTGGAGTTTAGAAGAATGAGTGAAGGCCTTATTGAAACATATAAGATTCTTAGGGGATTTGACAGGGTAAATGCTGAGAGGTTGTCTCCCCTTGTGGGAGACTCTAGGACCAGAGGGCATAATCTCAGAGCAAGGGATTGCCCATTATAGACAAATCTGGATGAATTTTTTCTCTAAGGAGAGTGAATCTGGAATTCTTTATTGTAGAAAGCTGTCAAGACTTGATCATTAAGTATGGTGACAAGATAGGCAGATTCTCTAAGGTTTTAGAGTAGATTTGTAGCTCGGGTTGTGGATGTTGTAGTTGGTTGGTTCGCCGAGCTGGTTCATTGTTTCGCAGATGTTTTGTTACCATGCTGGGTAACATCATCAGTGCAGCCTCCGATGAAGCGCCATTGTGTTTTTCCACGACACAACGGTGCTTCGTCAGAGGCTGCACTAATTATGTTACCCAGCATGGTAACAAAACGTCTGCGAAACAAACAGCTCATTTAGCCAACCAACTACAAGATAGGCAGATTTTTAAATTAACAAGGGAATCAAAAGTAGAGAAAAAGGCCAGAAGGTGGAGTTGAGAATTATTAGATCAGCCATGATCTCATTGAATAGTAAAGAAGAATCACCAGTCAGACTAGTTTATCCGTGTCCTGCTAGTAGTGGGCACCATCCGCTTCAGAATCTGAGGTGTTATGAACAGAACTTGAACACTCTGCATTCAACATCCCCATTTCTGACCTTATGAGGTCTTGCAGAAATGGTCATTAATGCTACTATCTTTGTACGGAGGGCATGGGACTAGAAGTTGAAACAATGAAGCAGTTGAAATCCCACAACATATTCTTACAGTACACATGATCAAAACAGTCAGAATAAGTTTGAGGTGCTGGCTCTTTGATCCAACGTTGGAACTGATCAAGTGTACTGATTTGTCCTAGATGGTTGTGAGAAAATCATACTAAATAGTGGACCATTTATTATCCGCAGAAGTAGTTCAGGATTTATTGATATTTTTTCCAACTTGTTTAGACATGTTATGACTCGTCATTAACCAAATTATAATTGAATTTTATATATTGTTTGAAAGGTAGAAAAGTGAGTCTAAGGCTAATATTTTAGAGTAGTAAATAAAGGCAACAATGTGGTTATGAAAGCTGAGCTAACTAAAGTGAACTGTGTACCAGGCTAGGGAAATAAATCAATAGGGAATCAGTGGAAGACATTCTGGTGATGTTTCAGAGTACTCAGACTAAGTATATTCCTACGATAAGAAATTTGAAGGGGAGGACTCCCCATCTGCGGTTAAATAAAGAAATTAAAGAGTAGAAACTGAGGGAAAAGTGTGGAATTTTGCAAAAATAAGTGGCAAACCATATGATTGGTCAGAATATAAAGAATGGTGCAGAGTAACTAAAGGATTAATCAGAAGAAGGAAATTAAAATATGACAGGAAGTAAACTAGAAATGCAAGGGGTTCCACAGGTAATTTAAAAGGCAAGAGTGAGAGAGTGGAGAGCTAAAAGATAGTAAGGACATGACAAATGAGATTAACATATATTCTGCTTCTGTATTCACTCAGAACACAAAAATCATTCCAAAATCATTGTAACCCATGGGAAGGAGAGAGGAACAGGGTGAAATTACAATCACAAGGAAATTGGTAGTGAGCAAACCAATTGAACTGTAGGCTGACAATCTCCAGTTCCCAATGGACTTCATCCTAAGAGTCTTAAAATAAGGTAGAGTAGATGCATTGGTGTTAATTTTCCAACATTCATTAGATTCTGGAAAGTCTCTATCAGACTGGAAAGTAAAATATAACCCCTCTTTTCAAGAAGGGAGGAAGGCAAGAATCAGAAAACTTATAGGCCAGTTAACTTGATGTCTGTTGTCAGAAGATGTTAGGATCAATTAAAGAGTGATAGCTGGGCGCTTGGAAAAGCTCAAGATAATAATGAAGACGTCAGTATGGTTTTGTAAAACGGAAACCATATTTAGCCAATTTGTTTTTTAAAGGAGTAGCATATGATGTGTATAAAGGGAGGCTTTGACATACTGTACTGATGGTGTAGTCAGCAACACATTAGCATGGTAAAGGTCTGGTACCAGACTATAGGGCTACCGTCTCTTTGGAGAGAGATGACCACTGATAGTGGTTTAACCTGAGGGTGACTATCAGGTGAGGGGAGAGATTGAGAAGGAGAGCCCTTCATAGTGACCTCAGCCGGTGCAAGAAATCAAACCTATGCTGTTGGCATCATTGCATCACAAACCAGCCATTCAGCCAGCTGAGCTAACCAACCCCTTTTAGCGTGGATAGAAGATTGGCTAGCTAACAGAAAACAGATGAATAAATAAGGCTTTTACTGATTGGCAGAATGCAATGAGTGGAGTCCTCAGAGGTTTATGCTGGGATCTTCAATTTTATATGAGGAGAGTGAAGGAATGGTAGCTACATTTGCAAATGACACAATGATAGATAAAGTATGTTGTGAGAGGGTATGTAGAGATTTCAGAGGGATATAGATAGGTTATGTGAGTAGGCAAAAACTTGGAAGATCAGAGTATAACGTGGGAAAATGTGAGGTTGTTCACTTTGGCAGGAAGAATTAAAAATACAGTGTATAAGCAATTAGGAAAGGTAACAATGCTATTTATCATGAGAGGAACTGAATATGAAAGTAAGAATGTTATGCTTCTCTTACATAGGGCACTCAGCATGTCTGGCAGCATCTATGGAGGGAAACAGTAAATGCTTCGTGTCTGTAGGGGTGAATTGTACCTGACCACACTAGGCAACCCATACCTGCTTATAAGATGGCAGACGGAAGCTAAGCAAAACTAAGTAGCCTGCTCACACAGTGAAACACAATGGTAGTTTTGAATAGAACTATTAGAAGGTCAGCAAAGAAACGCTGTATGTTCCCATCGGAGACAGTTCTGATAAATGACCAATTCTAGCCTTTTTAATGAAACGATGATTGTTCCAGTAAATGAATAACATCAGGTGCTAGATTAAGTCCCCAAGCAAGGACAACAGCTAAAGTTATGTTGTAGTAAATAGTTGCTTCTTCGAAGCTACCTGTAATATTAAACAGTTTCAAGTTAAAAATGCTTTAATTATAGAAGTTGGTTTCAATACATAACCAAAATACAATACAAACATTTTAAAAAATTAAGCCTAGATGTGAAGGTTAATTAGCCATAGGAGACACTGTCTCTTATGTCCTGAACAAGATAGATTGCTCACAACTCATAAATTACAAAATGTTAACAGTAGAAGTAGTTGTATAACGTTACACTTCATAATTAACTTTTATAACAGAAATTAACCTTATAGCAATTAGTTAAAACTAACTGACTTTATTTTTACATTATGTAATTGGGAAAGTGAGAAAACAAAAGGAGTAAATGAATGTGATAAAAGACAGCACCAAAATACAATGGGTAATAGAATTCGAGCTGCCTTTACAGATAAACAAGCCTGAGAAAGACCCAAAGGAGTATAGCGATTAAACTTTTGGAATGCAAATGAATAGGATGCATAGAAAAATCCCAAGGCCTAGTGATTACAATGTCTAACTAATACCATAAGATCATAGGAACCTGGGGTTGTCCATAGAAGTGCCCATCATTGATTAGATGAGTCACGGTGTATGGATTAAGAGGGAAGGACAGTGACTACGCTGTATTTGATTATTGTAACAAAGTGTATAAAATGCTGTATTTTCACTGTAAAAATCAAAGTTTGTCATTGATCTCCCTTCCAATCTGGGGAAGATCCTATGGCCCTCTCCTTGCATCAACTGGTTTCTGCTTGAATAAACATCTTCCACTTCCCTGAATACTGCCTGCCTCCTGAGTTTTTTGTCCCTGGTCATGAGGTACGCTCCTATAGTATAATAGTCCAATATGACTTTTTATGAACTCAAGTCCATCTGGTTGGAAGGCAGCTGTGTCCATTGCTTGGTGTGACATGGCACTACCAGGCAGAATTTCTGTGCCTGCATGTTCTTTCATGTTCCTATGACGCACAGCCATAAGTAATGATTTTTTCCATATTCTTTCATGGATTGCAGGCAGTATTGGCTAGGCCAGCATTTATTGCGCATCCTCAATTGTCTGGAGAGCAGTTAAGAGTCAACCATATTGCTGGGGGATCTGGCACCACGTGCAGGCCAGACCGAGGAAGGATATTTCCCTAAAGGATGTTAGTGAACCCAGTGACTTTTACAACAATCAACAATGGTGACATTAGCCTAGCTTTTATTTTAATCCAAATTCTTACTGAATTCAAATTCCACCACGTGCCATAGTAGGATTGTCTTCAAGAACTTAAGTGTTGCCAGTAGATATATACGGTCAGAAAATATATTATACCTCAAGTGTACAACGTGCTGTGTCTTTCGACATAGGTTTCAGCTCTTTAATGTTCCTAATTTAATCACTCCATCGTTGGCTGCTGTGGAATTCTCTCCCTAGCCTCCTCTGTTTCTCTACTCCTTTAAGACCTTCCTTAAAACCAACTTAAATAAAAGCAAAATCCTGTGGATGCTGGAAATCTGAAATAAAAATGGAAAGTGCTGGAGAAACCCAACAGGTCTGGCAGCATCTGTGGACAGAAAGCAGAGTTAACCTTTCGAGTTTATTGACCCTTCTTCTGAACATTCTGACGAGTCACACTGACCTGGAATGTTAACTCTGCTTTCTCTATAGATGCTGCTGGACCTGCTAAGTTTCTCCATCGCTTTCTGGTGTTATTACTAAAAGATGTTGGTTTGATGTCCTTTCGTGTAATGTGTTATTTGATTATTATTCCTGTGAAACATTTCAATTTGTTAAAGGCACTGTACTAATGAAGGTTGTTTACTTGTGAAAGTTCTCAGTATAAACATGATTTTAGATAATGCTCAGTTTAATTTACAAAATGCTTCTGGAAGAAATGGGAAAGCATAAATTACTTTAAAGTAAAAAAAGACAAAGACCATCAGATATAGGAGCAGAATTAGGCCATGTGGCCCATCAAGTCTGCTTCACCATTTGATCATGCTGATATGTTTCTCAACCCTATTCTTCTGCCTTCTTGTAACCCTTGATCCCGTTACTGATCAAGAATCTGTCTCTCTCTGCCTTAGATATACTCAATGACTTGGCCTCCATAGGTCTCAGTGGCAATGAGTTCCAGATTCACCACCCCCTAGCTGAAGAAATTCCTTCTCTCCTCAGTTCTGAAGGGTCGTCGCTTCACTCTGAGGCTGTGTCCTCGGGTTCTAGTCTGTCCTACTATTAGAAACATCTTCTCCACGTCCACGCTACCTAGACTTTCAATATTCTGTAAGGTTCTATCAAATTACCCCTTCATCCTTTTAAACCTGAATACAGACCCAGAGTCCTCAACCGCTCTTCATAAGACAAGGCCTTCATCCCAGGTTCATTCTTTTAAACCTTCTCTGATCGCCCTCCAATGCTAATACATTCTTCATTAGATATTGAGCCCAAAACTGTTCACAATATTTCCAAATGCAGTCTGACCAAAGCCTCATACAGCCTCAGCAGTACATCTTTACTCTTGTGTTCTTGTCCTCTCGAAATGAATGCTAACATTGCATTTGCCTTCCTAACTGTCAACTGAACCTGCATGTTAACCATAAGGGAATGCTGAACTACGACTCCAAAGTCCCTTTGTGCTTCACATTTCTGAAGCATTTCCCCATTTAGAAAATAGTCTCCATTTCTATTCTTCCTACCAAAGTGCACAAGCTCACACTTTCACACACTGTATTCCATCTGCCACTTCTCTGCCCACTCTCCAACTCTGTCCAAGGCCTTCTGCAGCCTTCCTACTTCCTTACCACTACTTTCCCCTCCACCTATCTTTGTGCCATCTCCAAACTTAGCAACAATGCCCTCAGTTCCTTTGTCCAGATCGTTAATGTATAACGTGAATAGTTGTGGTCCCAACCCTGATTCCTGTGGACTTGCACTACTAGCCACAGGTTGCTATCCTGAAAAAAAAACCCTTTCATCTCTGCCTTTTGGTAGTCCGCCAGTCCTCCAACCATGCAAGTACCTTGCTGCTAATACCATGGACTCTTATTTAGCAGTCTTCTGAAAATCCAAATACATCACATCCACTGGCTCTCCTTTGTCTAAGTTGCTTGTTACCTCAATTGTAACAGATTTGTCAGCCATGACTCCCCTTAAAGCCGTGCTCACTCAGCCCTATTTTACCATGCACTTTGAAGTCCTGTGCAATCTTATCTTTAATAATGGACTCCAAAATATTACCAACAACTGAGATCAGGCTACCTGGTCTATAGCTTCCTGTCTTCTGCCTCCCTTCCTAAATATTACATTAACCATTTTCAAGTCCTTTGGGACCCTCGCTGGCTCCAGTGATTCCTGGAAGATCACCACCAATGCCTCCTTTTACAATCACCTTCAGAATTATGGGGTGTAGTCCATCTGGTCCACATGATTTATCCGCCTTCAGACCTTTGAGCTTATCCAGCAACTTCTTAATGATGCCTACTGACTCTTGAAGTTCTGGTATCCTGCTGGTGTTTGCCACAGTGAAAACTGATGTAAAGTTTCTCTTCAGTTCCTCTGCCATTTCTTTGTTCCTCATTACCACTTCTCCAACCTCACTTCTGGCGGTGTCGCCGAAAGTCCAGCGTAGCGCAAGTACTGGGTGGGCAGACTTCTGGTCCTCCCAGCTCGGACCTCCAGTATCCCACAATGTCTAGTCCTCCAGTATCCCACAGTTCCTCAGCGTGACGGAGAGAGCGGGCAGGCGGACATGGCGGACTCGGACAGCTGGGGTGAGCGCGGCTTTTTGTGTCTCGGGTTTAATGGCGCCGAGAGGTTCCTTCTGCCTTTTCTTTCTCCTTCACTCCTCCATTTTGCCTATTTTCCTCCCCAAACTAATAACCGACTTCAATTTTCTTCGCAGACGACGATTTCCAGACGCAGGGGCCGGTGAACAAGCCCGTGATCGTGGACAGATGGGAAGGCGAGGACGAGGAGGAGGATGTGAAGGTAAAGAAAACACTAGACCCGGGCCAACAGTAGTCCTGGGCCCAGGCAACTTATCCCGCCGCCGACCGTTTGTCTTGGCTGTGTCTGTCTCTTACTATGCTAAAGGTGCTACACAAATGTAGGTTGTTCATATTTAATTTTTGATGGGAGTCGGGGCGTCACCATTGCTTCCGCATGGTTCCTGCTGATGGGATGAGTGGCAGTGCCATACTTCATACCACCTGCTACATATTCTGTTCCCTTAGTTATTCACCCTATGCTCATGGACCCTGAAGTTGGCACTCGTCAACACCTGCAGTATAAATTCCAATCCTCCTGTTCAAAACCTGGAATAGATTCACTTCTTCCCAGTGTATTTAACGTTTAACTCTGCATGCTGTTTGTTGCTCTAATTCCATCATTTGGTCCATCCTCCAAGGTTTTGCTCACTGCTGCCAGTTGTGCTTTCAGTTGCCTAAATCCAAATTAAACTTCACAGCCTTTCTATTCTTTCTCCTGTTTTAATGTGCTTCTTAAGATCAGTAATTTGAACAAATTTTTGGGCAGTTGTTTAAAAGTGGTTTGGTGTCAGTTTTTGCTATTTTTCTTGGCTGAGGATGGCTGTGATGGAGTGTAATTTCCAATCATTTATTGCTCCTTTTGAGGGGATCAGTCTTCTCACGTTTGTTTGCTTCACTTCATCCCTTCTGGGATGTAGCCTTTTGTCGTGGTAAATCATGTGTGTGTTGAATGGTTGTGGTCCCATCTGCTTGGCTTTTCTGTTCTTCCACTGGTATTGATGTTAAACTGCTCTCTACCTTCTGATAATTAAGTTAACGATGTAGCAACAGAGAGGCTCTTCCATTGTGCTTACAGACAATAATTAATCAGTTTGTGTTGTTTATAGGGGTCAAATTTGAGTGGAAACGTAGTTTGTCTAATTTAGGAGTCTCAGATTTCTCTATCCTCCGGAATAATAGCAGAGAAACAGCAAAGTAATGAAAAGTAATGTAATTTTTAAAAACAAAACTAACTTCAATCCAAGTGCATGTTTTATTTAAATATTCGAAAACATTGTCAGTGTATAGTTTTACTTCGCACATTAATTCCAAAAGGTTGTACAGAAAACACATTACTCCCACCATTATAAAGGCTGGCACTGCTTAACTCTAGCGTCAAGGGCCTCAAACTCCATTGACATAGTGGTTAGCTATTCAGCTGCTTTCCAGTGTATCCATGTGTTTTACCTGTTTATTGGGGGGAATAATGTATTGTATAACAATGCATGTTCTGCACTGCATGGTGGCAAATCCAGTCCCATTGATGTGAAAGCATATTGATCTTCAGGTGTATGTGGTAACTGTCAAATGAAAGCAACATCCTGTGGATGCTGGCGATCTAAAGTTGAAACAGAAAGTGCTTGGAAAACTTGATGAGTGTGTCAGCATCAGTAGAGAGAAACAGTTGCCTTTTTGAGTCCAGTACAGTCCTTTGCTTCCATTTCTCTCTCCAAAAATGCTGTCAGACCAGCTGAGTTTCTCTAGCACTTTATTTTTATTACCTGGTAACTGTGTTGCATCAAAGACAAGAGATTCCCACACTTTTTAGCCCATAGCAATCAAAGTAGTCTGAAGATTTCTAAATTGGAAGGAAGCTAATGGTCCTCAGTGTTTACTGTGCTTATAAAACTCCCAATGCAAACAAATTTCCATTATCACCCAGGGGTTCCCCCCCTCATACTGGAGCCATGATTTTTTTTAAAACCAGTAAGAATGACAAGTTAATTATTAAACCCTTCATATACACTGTCCAAAACCACATGCCACTAGTTAAAAATCCAAGCTCTAAAATAAATAATACTAATGCATACATAAATCTCACACCTTACATTAAACAAGTAAGTGCTCTCAACTAGTAATGTTACTAAACAGTTTTGAAAGAAGGGAATACAGTAGTATGGTAATGTAATATTAAAACATTACATTTAAAAGCTGTAATGTACTTAATCCAGAAAAGAAACATGAAATCAATAAATGAGATGAAGGAAAGATAAGGATAAATGTGGCATAAATAAACTTTCTTTACACAAACCCAAATTAAAAAGAATAAATTCAACCTTGCACGTATAAGATTTAGGCTACAACTGAGATGGTTAGGGCTGGGAACTAAATCTAACAGATCAGCAAAAGAGGAACAGCTGATGTTTGTGAGGAGTAACCTTACTAATTAAGGATGAAATCACTTCAAAAGATTCATAGATATTCCAATAAAGTAAGCAATCAGTGGAGACTTTTCTGTTGAATTAAGAAATAAGGGAAGGCTTTAAAGACTGGGAGGAATTGTGTGTTATCCCCATGGTAATGAAGCAGTGTGTTGTACAAATGCAGAAATTATATAAGTGTTTAGCTTATCTTAGCTTTAAATAAGCTGGAGTGCATAAATGGGAACCCAGACTTGGGTAAAGAGACTAACCCATGTCAGAAAGCAAGAGAAATTATAGTTGCAGGAAACTTTTCTGAGTGTATAGAATGTTCTAAAATGAGCAAGGATTAGGCTAAATTTAGTAAGTTTATAGGTGAAGTTTATCTAATAGTGTGATGCTGTTGAGGGCGAGTACTATGTAGTGTCTGTAAGAGAGAAATATGAAACGATCACTGAAATTCCAGATTTACTCAATGCAGGAGGGATACTGCCCACAATAAATCTAGTATAATGGCATGTTTAATAGATGTTCTGAAAAGAATTTAATGGTATAGACCAGTTATTTCTCCTTTGGGTCAAGAACTTGACCTTGTACTTCTATTTGGTTGAGAGTGGAAAATGTTTATAACTTGAGGGACACCATTCCACATTGATCATGGCTGATCAGAAACTTGTAAAGTACTGGATGAACATGTACCCACCATCAAAATTATCAGTTGCACCCCCTCCTCCTCTGTCCGCCACACACACACACACACACACACACACAGGCCCCATGCCACTGATGATGTTTAATATCATAATCTCTCCGACTGTAAGGAACAGAACTGGGAGAGCCAGCACAGTACATTGCCAGTGCGTGGAACTGGTCCATGGGTTGGAAGTTTAATACTTCCCCTCGAAGCACAATCCAATGGCAATATTTGTTTTGCTGGGTTGAATTGCTGGTACATTCAGAAAGTAGCTAGCACTTGTTACAACGAAACCATGGTAAAAGATTTCTTCAATCCGACAATATCCAAAATTGTAACTCATTTTACTATAATTCTAGTGATAAACTGAGCATATTAGAAGATACATTGCCAGATTCCTTCAGTAAAGCTGTTCTGGTGATTTGAAAAGCAGGAACAAGGTTGAAAAGTTTTAAAATTGTCAGCAAAATCAGGAGTGGTTTTGCTGACCTTTGTAGAATGCTCACTTGATGTGTCATCAGCTTGAATTTGAACCTTGAGCTTAGTGCTGAATGCTATTATGCAGGTATAGACCACACAGTATAGTAGGATGCAATCAGCCTTAGATTTTCATAAATACAATCATTTATCTCAAAGTTCATAGCCAAAAAAAAAACAAAATGCAAAGAGTGCAGATCCATACATTTCAACTGGAGGTAGAGAGTAGAATAGTTTTAGTCTTTCAGGTTGATGACATCTCATGAGGACTGATCTGGTGTTGTCTATTTGAGCTTCGAATAACATGCAGTCAAACAATTAAATTTAATCTTTCCAGATATGGTTTACGACTCAAGTCTGTCAGTAATGTGGTATGAGCAATTCCATTTGATGGAAAATGTTACAGGAATATGTCAAGACATTTAAGAATGTGCATCCCTGGAGTCTCCAGATTTCTGCATGTTGCTTCAATGATTAAAATACTGATGTGCAATAATTTTTGTGGTGCAACTATGCTGTCACGTGATCAATGTATTTAAATCACAGCTTGATGACTACATGTGGATGAAAGAAATAATGTGCCAGTTGATTAGGGAGAGATTATGTGGAGCTTTCAACATGAGCATAGACAAGGGCTGAATAGCATGCTTCTGTATTGTTGAAATTTTATATACCTTTTGTGTTGGATATATGATGCAATCGTTTGGAAGTTAGAATGGGATTTTCAGTATCTATAAATGTTGAGATAGTTTCAGTGTAGTGTTGATAACTTTTGGCACAATAACATTATAGGTGAGATAGAAAATAGAACCGAGTGATTTAACTTTTATATACAAGTTAAATCACTCGGTTCTGTTCTCTAACTTTTATATAAAAATTAAAGGGTGACTTCATATTCCTTCCCTGCAGAAGAGTAGATAGTGTGTTGTTTTGACAAATTGATAGGAGTGTAACACTTTGTCTCTATTTAATGGGTATTAACGTTGTTCAGTGTGATAGACACACTGATGGATAGTGGTACACAGTCTTAAATCTGGGGAGATAAAAAACAAGGGAATTTGGGCAGGACGAATAAGATACGGGAATCCATATGGTAAGATTCTGCAAAGTTGTAGACTGACACATAGAATGTATAGATAGAGGTCCCTGATGGTGGCTGGAAGGGAAATACGGTGATTAAGAAGGGATCCTGTACTTTAATAGCCAAGGCCTCAAGTGTAAGAGCATGAAGCTTATATTGGAACTGTATAAAAGATCTGTTTCATTGCAGCCTTTCAAATTCTGGGCACTACATGAGAGGACAGATGAGATGGAAAGGATAGAGAGGAAATTTCTATGAATGTTGCCAGTAATGAAAGTTTTACTTCTGAAGAAAGATTGGATATGATGGGTTTTCTTTAGAACTGATGAGACAGGGGTGGGGCAAGATTTGATTGAGGTGTCCAAGGTTGTGATGATTTGGATAGAGTAGGTAGGAACCCCTGTTTTCGTTAAAAGGTAACTGACCAAGGGTCATAGATTTGAAGTAATTGTTAGCAGGATTAGGAGGAACTTGAGTAATCTTTTCACTGGGAGTCTATGGCTCACAATCAGAAAAAATGGTAGCGGCAAAAACCCAACACATTTAAAAAGAGATGCACTGGAATACGCACTTGAGGTGCTAATAACAGGAATGTGGGGTTAGGCTAGATTGCCTAATCTTGTCTGGTATAGACGCAGTGGTCTAAATGATAACCTGTGCCATAAATCTGTGTTTCCATGAGATGATATCTTTGTTGAAGGTATGATTCCATAGGCACGAAGGTATTGTGGTGATTTCACTTCAAATATAGATAATTGCAGACAAATGATGGGAAAGAATTTTGTTGCTCTATGGGTCTGTTTTTAAAAACTTGCTGTATTCACTTAGCGGTCATTGGTTGAACTTTAACTTTTTCTTTGGCCAGCTGGATGTCAGTCAGGCATTGAAATCTTGAGCCCTTGAGTCTCAAGTGCAATTGCTGAGAAATCCACAAGGGGGTGTTATAACTGCATGCTCATGAGTCACTGCGGAAAGACACCCGTTTTAGCCAGCCGCATACAATTTATCAAGTTACGAAAAATCAAGGGTTTTCAGACGCCTTGAAATGTTTGCAAGATTTTTAAAATGTGATATAATTTAATATTGGGCATTGGTGAGTTTTCTCTTGAGTTGGCTCATAGCCTGCAAATTTGTGTGCAAACTATGTGGAGCCATGTGGTGAATGCTATCCCTTGGTGACATGTCTCCCTGCTCTAGGTTAATAAATGTCCTGCACAAAATTGAATTTGCTCAGTTCGGCATTAGTGAGGGTGCCTTGTTAGGGGTAGGTCATACAAAAAAATTGTACATATGTATTTTCCTAATGGTATTTAGTGGACTAACTAGAGAAAATTAGATAATTGGGTTTTAGTGTGACCCTATTAGCATCAGATTGTTATGAGGAAACACCCAAGATTGTTAATCCCAATCACTGCTTTCATGGAAGTTGGAGTTTGGTGAGGAATTCCTGGAGTTTTGTTTTCTTTGTTAGCTCTCAGGTTCTCTTTCTGTATTTTTGCCTCTTGAAATATATGGCTTTTGGCAAGTGGGGTGTATTGGGCAGACCACTTTTCATACTACTTCTACACTTTTGTAGAAATACCCAAAAATAAGGCCTTGTATATTAATATTTGTCGCTTTCATTCATGCAAATATATCACAGTGCTAGCCCCAAAGACAGTCCTAAATTGGGTGTTAGCATAATTCATAGCGCACTTAGTATTATTTAGCGATTGTTGTCTGTTTGCAAAATCATATCTAATATTAGGCCTCGAGTTTTGCAAATCGATGCAGAGTACCTTGTGAATGGCCACGTGGATGTGGTGTTTGACACAGTCTGCCAATGTTTGGGGCGTGTGAACTCCATGTCAGTATAATTCTGGTATGCATATTACCAATTACAGAGATACCACTACATTAATGAGGTTTAACATGGGGTGAAAATGAACTAAAGGTGCCTGCAGAGGGATTAGGAAGAACATTCCTAAGTAACTTTTACCCCCACTGTTTCTTCTTCTTTACACTGCTTGAGAGTTGAGCATTTTGAACATTCTGGTGTGTTGGTACTATTTACAGAACAGAAATGGGTCATTCAGCCCAATTGGGTCATGCAAGCCTTGGTGTTTCACACTAACTACCTCCGACCCTTCTAAGCCAGTTGACCTATCCTTCTATTCGTACTGATTCATCCTACTTTCATTCTTGTGTTCTCCTATATTTATGACCTCCAGTTTGGTTTTCCTGCTGTTGGAAAATGTTCTGCACATCTAACCAATCAAAACTTTTTATAATCTGAAAAATTTGTCCGCTCACCCCTCGGACCTATTTGTCAATCAATTACTTTTGTCATTTTGCATTAATGTTTACTTCCCACCAATTTTTACCTCACTGGGTAACATTCTTGCCATGCTTCAGTTTCACTGAGGAAAATCATTTGGTGCCATACCATACCATACCACTGTAGAAATCCTTCTGTTACAGGTGAATGTGTTAACAGGGCAGTAGAGTGATCTGTTCCTACAGTCATTGTTATTTATACCTGCCTTTTACCAACAGAGGCTGCTGAAGCCATTAACAGAAGTCTGCAACAATCTGTCGCCTCCCTATTTCAGGAATGCAGGGGCCAACTTTACCTCAGCAGCTAACCTGAGATCAGCTCGGTACAGACTGTGGATTAAGCGATCTTTTGATCTGTGGCTTAATCACACACTGGTGTACTCCATAAAGAAGGTACACTAGGCTTTAAATGATCTAGTGGTTCCCTTTTGCGGTTTACAAAGTTCATGACCTATTTCCTGCAGCGATTTGCTTTCTACAAAACTGTTACAAGTGGGTCACAAAAACTAAAGTAAATAATTTGTTTTAAAGTTTATTTACGCCCATTTTCATTCAGAGGAATGAAGAGTAGGAGCTTAAACACTATTCACTTTGTTTCCATAGGACAACTGGGATGATGATGAAGAGGAAAAGAAAGCACCAGTGAAACCAGGTAAGTATGCAGATTTCTTAATACCTGAATTGAGAGGTAATGTGATGGCTGCTTTTAGAATTCTGAGAGGAGTAGTTGGTGTGGATTATGATAAACTAGTTCAGCTTGAAGAGGGGTATTCTATTTGCAGCATTTCCTTTCACTGAGCAGGTACCCAAACAGGCTCCAAAGGAAACAGTGGAATGAGTTAGTAGTGATTCATTCAGATTTAGCAGTATTTTGAGATTAAATAATTTGTGTCATGATGTGATGAATATAGTGCTGTTAGGAGCAAGTGACTGTGGACCTATTTTTCCGAAACTCTCAGTCACTGGAAGTTTTCCGTCTCTGATGTCTGGGATGTTGTAGACTCAACTACAAGGATTGGTCATTGTGATCAGACACCAAGTCCCATAGTCACATCTTATCAAGCTACCAGGATGGTACAAGGTAAACTACAGTGGCCTTAGGTTTTTCTGTGGCTCAGTTGGTGGCGTTCCTGCCTCTGATTCTGAACAATCAAGTCTCCACTGTAGTTTAGTTCAAAATCACAATTGATAGTCCCAGTGTAGTACTGGAAATGAGCTGTACTATTGAAAGCTCAGTTTCTCAGGTGAGGTCTTTAAACCTGGTTTCCTCCCTGGTTGTCTGAAATTATCCTATGGATTAGGGTGGCATGGTGACTCACTGGTTAGCACTGCTGCCTCATAGCGCCAGGGACCTGGTTCAGTTCCATCCTTGGGCGACTGGCTGTGTGGAGTTTGCACATTCTTCCCATGTCTGTGTGGGTTTCCTCCAGGTGCTCTGATATCCTTCTAAAGTCCAAAAATGTGCAGGTTAGGTGGATTAGCCATGAGAAATGCAGGTTTGCGGGGTGGTTCTGGGTGGGATGCTCTTCGGAGGGTCAGTGTGGAGTCACTGGGCTGAATGGCCTGCTTTGACACTGATGGGATTCTATGAATAAACAGATTTTTTTTCTGTCGGTACCTTGGTCAAGTGTTATACTTATTCAACATTACACCTTAGCTTTTATGTTTTCTTCAAGTTGCCTGTGCTTTTATTAATTTGTGGGATGTGAATGTCGCTCACTGGCCAGTATTTAATGCCCGTACCTAGTTGCTGTTAAGAAGGTGGCGGTGAGCTTCCTCCTTGATCTGCTGCAGTCCACCTGCTGTGGGTTGACCCACAATGCTATCAGGGAGGAAATTCCTGGATTTTGACCGAGCAACAGTGGAGGAACAGCGATATATTTCCAAATCAGGATGGTGAATGACTTGGAGGGGAACTTGGAGGTAGTGGTGTTCCCATCTATCTGCTGCCCTTGTTCTAGATGAAAGTGGTTGAGTTTGGAAGGTGCTGTTTGAGGATCTCTGGTGAATTTCTAAACTGCATCTTGTAGATGGTGCACTCTGCGGCTCTTGAGCATCAGTGGGAGAGAGAGTGCATGCTTATGGATGTGATGCCATTTAACCGGACTGCTTTGTCTTGAATGCTGTCAAGCTTCTTGAGTGTTGTTGGAGTTGTACCCATCCAGGCATATAGGGAATATTCTTGACTTATGCCTTGTTGATAACAGACAGGCTCTGGGGAGTCAGGAGTTGAGTTATGCGCTGCAGTATTCCTAGGCTCTGACCTGCTCTTGTAGCCACTGTGTTTGTTTATGTAGTGATTCCGCTTGAGTTTCTGGTCAATAGCCACCGCCAGGATGTTGATAGTGGAGGATTCAGTGATAATACCCATGAATGTCAAGGGCAGTGGTTAGATTATCTCTTATTGGAGATGATCATTGCCCCGCATTTGTGTGGCATAAATGAGAAGTCACGAATGGTGCTGAACATTGCCATCATCAATGAGCACTTCTGACCTTATGATAGAGGGAAGGCGGACAAATCCAACCCAGCCAATTACCGCCCCATCAGTCTACTCTCAATCATCAGTGATCTGTGGAATTCCCTGCCCAGTGAAGCAATTGAGGCTACCTCATTGAATGTTTTAAAACAAAGATAGATTTTTGAGCAGTAAAGGAATTAAGGGTTATGGTGAACTGCTGGGTAAGTGGAGCTGAATCCAGGAAAAAGATCAGCCGTGATCTTATTGAATGGCGGAGCAGGCTCAAGGGGCAGGATGGCCTACTCCTGCTCCTGGTTCTTATGTTGTTATGTAAACAGCTGAAGATGGTTGGACCTAGGACATTAGCCTGAGGAACTCCTGCAGAGAAATCCTGGAGCTGAGATGATTAACCTCTGACAACCGCAACCATCTTCCTATTTGCCAGGTATGATCCAAACAATGGAGACTTTGTCTTTTGATACCCATTGATTCCAGTTTTGCCAGGGCTCCTTGAAGCCGCACTCAGTTGAATGCAGCTTTGATGTCAAGGGCTGTCACTCTCACCTCACCTCTGGAATTCGGCTCTTTTATCCATGTTTGAATGGAAGCTGTAATGGGTCAGGAGCTGAGTGGCCCTGGCAGAACCCAACTTGGGCACCTCTGAGCAGGTTATTGCTGAGCAAGCGCTACTTGATAGCACTGTTGATTACACCATCTATCACTTTACTGATGATTGAGAGTAGACTGGTGGGGCGGTAATTGGCCTGGTTGGATTTGTCTGGCTTTTTATGTACAGGACATCCCTGGGTAACTATCCACATTGTCAGGTAGATGCCAGCGTTGTAACTGTACTGGAAGAGCTTGGCTCAGGGAACAGCAAGCTCTGGAGCAAAGATCCTCAGTGCTATATCCAGAATGTTGTCAGGGCCCAAAGCCTTTGCAGTATCCAGTACCTCCCGCTGTTTCTTGATATCACATGAAGTGAATTGAATTGGCTGAAGACTGGTATCTGTAATGCTGGGCACCAGTGGAGGAGGCCGAGATGGATCATCCACTTGGCACTTCTGGCTGGAGATAGCTGCAAATGCTTCAGCCTTATCACAGTTTGAAATCCTGTGTTACACCTGGCCACCTTTGCCTTTTTAGAGGTATTTGTTGTTTCATGAACCTGAACCCCCAATTTTGTCTGTTTTTCCACATTGGCCAGAATTTTAAATTGAATTGTGCATGAGAATTGCTTTCCACTGTGGTTTGAATAGTTTTCTTGGACTTGCTTGTCAGCATTTCGCAGGAAGAATAGTAACTTGTGTGAGAAACATCAGGGTAGTGGGACTTGAAGGAATTTTTATCTAATTGTCAGGTAGCCCCTTCAGGAAAATAGTAGATTGGGGTTAAAGCTAGATTTGTATAACACTTGGTTTAAAAAAAAATCTTTCTGCTAGAATTGCTTTCAGATTATTATTGTATAGTAACCTTACAAAACCAGCCCTATCCTGTGGAGACAGAGGGATTTAAACACATAGGAACTAGGAGCTGGAGTATGGAATTCAGTCCCTCGAACCTGCTCCACCATTCAGTATGAATATGGCTGATCTGATTGTGCCTCAGCTTCTGCTTTGCTGCCTGTACCCATAACCGTTCAACCTATTACTAATTAAAAATATAACATGGGTTAAGGTCTGTGGTTGATGTCTGGTCTCTCAACGGTTAAACCAATGTTGATGCACTTTCTACTGTAACATTTTGAAGGTTATTCAGCACAGGTCCCACAGTTTTGAAATAAATAACAGGTGCGTTCTATTGGATATTTCTGTTGAGCTTGAAGCAGCAAGTATAAAGATCATTTTAATGCATTTACTTCTCACTGTGATAAAACTGATTGGGGGTTTTGACTGTTCTGAAATCCTATAGTTGAAGTCAAGACAGAAAAGAAGAAATTAAGTGACCGGATTAAAGAAAGGGAAGAAAAAGAAAAGCAACTGAAGAAGAAAAAACAAGAGTTAAAAAACGTAAGTTGCTTCATATCCATCAGGATGAAATATTCCACTGGTCCAAGGATTCTTCATCTTTACAATGCTACAAAGTGCTGCAGAATATATTTAACCAGTACAGTATAGACTACTGGGTAAATTGAAGTAAAATTAAAGGATACAAGACCTAACATGCCATACGTTAGGCATTCATACCTTTTTTCTATTCACTTGTGGGGTGTGGGTGTTGCTGGCTGGCCAGCATTTATTGCCCATCCCTAGCTGCCCTTGAAATGAGTAGCTTGCTAGGAAATTTCAGAGGGCAGTTGAGAGTCAACCATATTGAATGATAAAATCCCTTCAGCATGGAAGCAGGCCATTCAGCCCACTGAGTCCACATTGACCCTCTAAAGAGCATCCCACCCGGACCCGACCCTCTGTCCTATCCCAGAAACTCTGTATTTTTCATGACTAATCTACCTACGCAGTACATCTTTGGACTGTGGGAGGAAACCGGAGCACCTGGAGGAAATCCACACAGACGTGGGGAGAATGTCTGTGTGGAGTCCTCACAATCACCCAAGGGTGGAATCGAACCCAGATCCCTGGTGCTATGAGACAGCAGTCTAACCACTGAGCATCATGCTGCCCTGCTGGGGTCTGGAGTCATATGTAGGCTAGACTAGAGGAGGATGGCGAATTTCCTTCTATTAAGGGCATTTGTGAGCCAGATGGATTTTTCGAACAATTGGCAATAGTTTCAGAGTCCTCAGATTTTTTTAATTCCAGATTTTTGTTTAAATTTGAATTCAAATTCCACAATTTGTCGTGGCAGAATTTGAACCCATCTCCCCAGAACATTAGCTGAGTTTCTGGATTAATAGTCATAGTGACAGGATTAATAGTGATAGATGATATCACTAGGCCATCACCACCCCTAGAATAAAATTCAGAAGTGAACAGCCAGCTGCTTGGGGCCTGCTTTGCCATATAAGATTATACCTGATCTGGTTGTGGTCTCAACTCTCTCTTCCTACCTGTCACCTGTAATCCTTGATCTCTCTTGTCCATCAAAAAGCTATCTAACACAACATTGAATATATTTACGGACCTAGCCCTCACAGCTAAAAGAGAAAAAAAATTCTTAAAAATATTAAATTGTGCCCCCTAGTTTAATCTCCTCCACAATTGGAAACATCATTCTGCTGAATACCCAATCAAGTCCTCCTCAAATTTGTGAACGGTAAGTTTTGCAGTCTGCGCCTGTGCAGTGCGCATGTCTACAGCAGGAAACCAGTTTTGTTCAATATCTTTTCTTTAACGTTGCAGATAAGTGATGATTAGATACTTAGTGGGGGAATGGGTGTATAGTATGTTTTGTGAGGGCAAATGAATTCATGAATGGTACAAAGGGCTTAACAATGTGTTTTGATAATTTCGTCCTTTGCTCTTGTAAACTGCAATATGAATGGACCCAACTTATTCAACCTTTCTTCATGAGATCCCAGAATGAGTGGTGCTTGATCAAATGCCTTTAGCAATTCAAATACACCACATCATTTATATCTGCCTGGCTTGTTTTGATTCCTCAAAGAACTCTCTAAATGAATTAGACCAGTTTCCATTCCCAAAATCATGTTGACACTCTCTGATCCATTATGATTTTCTGAATATCCTGCTAAAGTTTCCTCCATAATGGATTCTCACAATTTCCTATGACCATTCTTAGGCCACCTAGCCTATAGTTTTTGCTTATCCTTCTTCTTGAGCAAAGGTGTTACACTAGCTATTTTACATTGGCTATTTTCCAATCCGCTGGGACCCTTCCAGAATCGAAGAAATTTTGCATGTTTTTAATCCGCAAAACTTTTAATCTCACTAGATTTGTTGCTTTTTAAAATCACTGAAGCCACTCTTCCCTCATGATACATTAAAATCTATTTATTCGTATGTAGCTGGACAGTAATTCAGGGAATGAGAATTCAACTCCCAACATAAAACAACATAAAATTGAAGTTTTTAAGATTTATATTTACTGGTTTCACTCAACATGAATGGTGAACATACTGTCAGAGAATTACAAAACCCCAAGTGGTTAACTAATATCCTTTTTGGAAAAGAAATCTAACTTCCTTACTCGGTCTGAACTTGTACATAATTCCCATCCCATACCAATATGGTTGACCTAATTTATTTCTGACATGACCTGATGAAGTCCCCGTTTTTTTTGTGGCTATGAGCCAGCAGTTCAGGAAGGCAGCTGCCGTTATCAGCATTTCAAGGCAACATGGAATGCATAATAAACGCTGGCCTTACCAGAAGTGCCCATCTGCTGACGGTGATTTTTGAAAAAAAAATTATGCTCCTCAGAGAGGAAGAATGGTAGGCAGAGACTTTGGGGAAATAAAAATGACTGATGCGATGTGTTAATGGTGTTATGTGGAAGTATTTCCATTTTGTGTTCTGCCTGTCCAATCTTCTGTGCCTCTTGTTTTCAGTTTGAGAAAGCAGCTGAACCAGTGGAACTTTCACCAGAGGAACAACAGGCAGAAAAACTCCGACTAGCCAAGCTACAAGAACAGGCAGATCTAGAAGTAGCAAAGGACACATTTGGTAAGTTGCAAATAAATTTATTAACTCTTTGGAAACCTCAAGCTCATCAGTGTTATTTTATCCAATTCTGCATTGGTGGAAGCTCCAGTATAATTATTACGTTTATAAACATACAACTAGGAGCAGTAATAGACCATTTGGCCCTTGAGCCTGCACTGCCATTCAATAAAATCATAGCTGATCAAGTTGTGTTTTGAATTTCACATTCCCACCTACCTCCACTGATCTTCAATTCCAAACTAGATTCTAACTCCATCTTGGTGTCAACAAGCACAATTTAAACTTTTATGTGGTACCTTGTGAAATGAATTCTGGAAAACCAAATACAGTATGTCTGCAGGCTCCCTTTATCCACAGCACTTGTTACTCTTTCAAAGAATTCCTGTTAATTGTTTAAACCTGATTTCCACTTCACGAGGCGTTGTACTGACTCTTTCAGATTGTCTTATGTTTTTCCAAATGTCCACCTAAATGTCTTTAGTAATCTCCTTTCCTCTCTTGAATAGAGGTGTTACATTTGCTACTTTCCAGTTTGTTGGAACTTTTCCACCATCTGGCAAATTTCAGAAAATCAATACCAATGCATCTACTACCTCATTTGCTACTTCAGGATATTAAATTGGAGAGGGTTCAGCAAATATTACCAGGATGTTGCAGGGAATGAAAGATTTGAGTTATAAAGATAAACTGGGACTTTTTTCACTGGAGTATAGGAGTTGAGGGGTGGTCTTATAGAAGCTTATAAAATCATGAGGGACATAGATAAAGTAGTTAGCAAGGGTTTTTTCCGTTGGATGGGGGAGTTCAAAACTAGGGGGCATATAGAGTCCTGTAGCACGGAGTCTGGTCCTTTGGCCCAAACTGGTCTGTGCCAATCAAAATGTCCATCCATGCTAAGCCCATTTCCCTGCACTTGACCCATATCCTTCTCAACCTTTCATATCCATGTATTTGTCCAAATGCCTTTCAAATGTTGTTAATGTACCCACCTCAACCACTTCCACTGGTAGCTCATTCCATATGCGTACCACCCTCTGTGTTAAAATAAAAAGTTGCTCCTCAGGTTCCCATGTATTCTTTCCCCTTTTACCTTAAACTGATGCCCTCTAGCCCTCGATTCCCCAACCCTGGGAAAAAGACTGGATGCATGCACCCTATCCATGCCTCTCATGATCTTATACCTGTCAATAAGATCCCCCTTCAGTCTCCTACGTTCTAAAGAAAAAAAGTCCTAGCTTGTCCAACCTCTCCCTATAATTCAGTCCCTTGAATCCTGGCAACTGCCTTGTAAATTTCTTCTGCACTCTTTCCTGTTTAATAACATCCTTCCTATAGCAAGATGACCAAAACTGAACACAGTACTTCAAGTGCGGCCTCACCAATGTCACATACAACTGCATCATAGCATCCCAACTTCTACACTCAATACCCTGACTGATGAAGGCCAGACTGCCAAAAGCCTCCTTCACTGCCCTGCCTACCTGTGAGTCCACTTTCAGAGAACCGTGCACCTGAATGCTAAGGTCCCTCTCTTCCACTACACTCCCTAAAGGCCCTACCAGTCACCATGAATCTCCTACCTTGATTTTACTTTCCAAAATGCACTTCCTCACATTTGTATATATTAAACTCCATTTGCCATTTCTTGGCCCATTTCCCCAGCTGATCAAGATCCTTCTGAAATTTCTGATAACCTTCCTCACTGTCCACGATATCGCCTATTTTTAGTGTCATCCGCACAGTTACTAATTATGCCTTGTACATTCTCATCCAAATCATTGATATAGATAACAAACAGCAATTGACCCAGCACTGAACCCTGAGGCACACCACTAGTCTCAGACCTCCAGTCAGACAAGCATTCTTCCAGTATTAACCTCTACTTCCGACCATCAAGCCAATTGTGTATCCAGTTTGCCAGCTCTGCCTGGATTCCATGTGATCTAACCTTCCAGAGCAGCCTACCACGTGGAACCTTTTCAAAGGCCTTACTGAAATCCATATCAACTACGTCTACCGTCCTGCCCTCATCAACCTTCCTGGTCACTTCATCAAAGAACTCTAGCAAACTTGAGAGGCATGATCTCCCACACATGAAGCCATGCTGACTACTCCTAATCAAACCCTGTCTTTCCAAATGGATGTATATCTTATCCCTCAAAATCTTCTCAAGTAACTTATCTACCACAGTTGTTAAGCTTACTGGTCTATAATTTCCAGTTTTCTTTTGCAGCCCTTGAATAAGGGCACAATATTCACTACTCACCAGTCTTCCGGGACTTCACCTCTGGCTAATGACGATGCAAATATATCTGCCAGGGCCCACACAGTTTCTTCCCTAGCCTCTTGCAGGGTTCTTGGATACATCTGGTCAGGACCAGGAGATTTATCCACCATCATATATTCTACTACTTCCAACACTACCTGTACTGTGATAAACGACTGTCCCCAAGATATCGCCACTAACTTTCCCAAGTCTTCATGCCTTTCTCCACGGTAAACGTAGAGGAGAAATATTCAATGAAAACCTCGCCCATCTCTTACATGTCCATTTTGGTCCTTGAGGGGCCCTGTTCTCTCTCTAGTTGTTCTTTTTCCTTTACCATACTTAAAGAATCTCTCAGTCACCTGTTGTGCCCTATTTCCCAAGAGTAGGTCAAGTTTTGCCCCTTCCCGAGTAGGACCTTCTATATACTGCTTGAGGAAACTTTCCTGAACACATTTAACAAATTCCATCCCATCTAAGCCCTTAACACTATGGCAGTCCTAGTCTATGTTAGGAAAATTAAAATCCCCCACTATGACAACTCTATTGCTCCCCAATCTCCCTGCACATTTGTTCCTCTAATTCCTATTGACTATTTGGAGGCCTATAGTACAACCCCAATGATGTCACCATCCCCTTCTTATTTCTTAGCTCCACCCACAAAGCCTCACTGGGTGATCCCTCAGTTATTTCATCTCTGACTAATGCTGTGATACTCCCTTTTTGGAATTTTTTGCCAATTGGAAATGTCAAATACTAGGGGGCATAGGTTTAAGGTGAGAGGGGAAGAATTTAAGGGAGATGTGCGAGGAAAGTTCTTTTTTTGCAGAGGGTGGTAGGTGTCTGGAATGTGCTGTCAGGCATGGTGGTAGAAGCAGATATGTTAGCAAAGTCTGCTTAAAAGGATTACGGACCATGTACAGGCACGTGTGAGAAAAATGAAAATCCGGAATGTTGGTTACTTGACTGTGTGATACGTTATCTGACTATAAGCGATGCCCCGCCATATTCGCCAAAGAGAAGTAATTGATGGAGGATAATCTCAATGAAGGGAGTGTCAAATTTCTATTGAAAAGGAAAAGGTGTTGTGCATCTTAAAAAGTATTAAGGTAGATAAGTCCCTGGGTCCTGATGGGAACTATCCCAGAATATTGAGGGAGGGAAGAGAACAAATTGCTGGAGTATTGACAGACATCTTTGTATCCTCTTTGGCCACAGACGGGGTCCCAGAGGACTGGAAAATAGCCAGTGTTGTCTCATTGTTTAAGAAGGGAAGCAGGGATGATCCAGGAAATTACAGGCTGTGAGCCTCACAGTGGTAGGGAAATTATTAGAAAAGATTCTCAGGGACAAGATCTATATGCATTTAGAAGCAAATGGACTTATTAGCGATAGGCAGCATGGTTTTGTGCAGGGGAGGTTGTGCCTAACTAACTTGATTGAGTTTTTTGAGCAGGTAATGAACATGATTGATATGGGAAAAGAGGTTGATGTTGTCTACATGGACTTCAGTAAAACCTTTGACAAGGTCCCTCATGGCAGACTGGTACAAAAGGTTAAGTCACATGGTACCAGGGGTGAGCTGGCAAGATGGATACAGAACTGGCTTAGTCACAGGAGACAGAGAGCAGCGGTGGAAGGATGCTTTTCAGAATGGAGGTTTGTGATTAGTGGTGATCCACAGGGATCAGTGCTGGGACCTCTGCAGTTCATGGTCTGCATAAATGATTGGAAGAAAACGGACGATGCAAAGATTGATGGAGTTGTGGATAGTGAGGGGGATTGTCAGAAGATGCAACAGGATATAGATCAGTTAGAGACATCGGCAGAAAAATGGCAGATGAAGTTTAATACAAATTTGAGGTGATGCATTTTGGAAGGTGAAGTACAGGTGGAAATTATACAGTGAATGGCAGACCCTTAGAAGTATTGATACGCAGAGGGATATGGATGTGCAGGTCCACAGATCACTGAAGGCGGCCGCGCAGACAGGATAAGGTAGTAAAAAGGCTTACGGCTTGACCTCATTGGAAGGCGCATTGCGTATAGGAATGGGCAAGTTATGCTGCAGCTTTATAGAACTTTAATTAGGCCACACTTGGAATATTGCGTATGCTTCTGGTCACCGCATTACCAGAAGGATGTGGATGCTTTGGAGAGGGTCCAGAAAAGGTTTATCAGGATGTTGCCTTGTATGGGGGATTTTCGTTATGAGGAAAGGTTGGATAGACTGGGTTTACTTTCACCGGAACGCAGGAGGCTGAGGGGGTGACCTGATGGAAGTTTATAAGATTGTGAATGGCATGGATAGAGTGGAAAGTTTGAGGCTTTTTCCCCAGGGTGGAGGGGTCAGTTACTAGGGGGCACGGGTTTGGGGTGGGGGGAGGGGGGATTTTAAAAGAGGTGTGTGAAGCAAGTTCACATAAAGGGTGGTGAGTGCCTGGAACGTGCTGCTGGAGGAGGTGGTGGAAGCAGACACAATAGTAACATTCAAGAAACACCTGAACGAATGCATGAATAAAGGGATACGGATCCTGTAAGTGAAGACAGTTTTAGTATGGGAAGGGCAAAATGTGGTGGCGCAGCCTTGGAGGGCTGAAGGGCCTGTTCCTGTGCTGTATTTTTCTTTCTTGCTTTCTTGCTTGCTTTCTTGCTTTCCTTCCGTCCGCCCGTCCGTCCGTTCGTTCGTTCCGTGGTTAAACAGCCTCATCATGTACCCAGAGTGCGTTCATTT